AAGGAGTTAGAATAGCTAGAATTTTTGAAATTAGAGGTCTATAGTAGGGGGTTCAATATACCATGGCAGGGGTGTCAAAATACCATGGTTAAGTAAAATTTGCAAAACATCTTTTCCAGCCTGTTAATTACATGCATACTACTAAGTGGACTATTATTACTCTGTTAAGGAGTTAGAATAGCTAGAATTTTTTAAATTAGAGGTCTATAGTAGGGGGTTCAATATTACATGGAAGGGGGGTCAAAATACCATGGCTAAGTAAAATTTTTCTTAGCCAAGGTATTTTGACCGCCCTGTCATGGTATATTGAACCCCCTCCTAAAGACCTCTAATTTCAAAAATTCCGATTATTCTAACTCCGTTACATAGTTGTTATAGTCCACTAAGTAGTTTGTATGTATTTAACATGCTGGAAAAGATGTTTTGAAAATTTTTCCTAGCCATGGTATTTTGACCCCCCTGCGCCATGGTATATTGAACCCCCTACTATAGACCTCTAATTTCAAAAATTCTAGTAAATCTAACTCCTTTACATAGTTATAATAGTCCAATAAGTAGTATGTATGTATTTAACATGCTGGAAAAGATGTTTTGAAAATTTTACTTAGCCATGGTATTTTGACCCCCCTGCCATGGTATATTGAACCCCCTCCTATAGACCTCTAATTTCAAAAAAATCTAGCTATTCTAACTCATTTACATAGTAATAATACTCCACTAAGTAGTTTGTATGTATTTAACATGCTTTAAAAGATGTTTTGAAAATTTTACTTAGCCATGGTATTTTGACCCCTCTGCCATGGTATATTGAACCACCTTCTATAGACCTCTTATTTCAAAAATTCTAGCTATTATAAATCCTTTATATAGTAATAATACTCCAATAAGTAGTTTGTATGTACTTAACATGCTTAAAAAGTTGTTTTAAAAAATTTACTTAGCCATGGTATTTTGACCCCCCTGCCATGGTATATTGAACCCTCTACTATAGACCTCTAATTTAATACAAAATTGCTATTCTAACTCCTTTACATAGTAATAATACTCCAATAAGTAGTTTGTATGTATTAAACATGCTGGAAATTATGTTTTGAAAATTTTACTTAGCCATGGTATTTTGACCCCCCCCCCCCCCCTGCCATAGTATTGATGCATGAACCCCCCACTTACACCTCAAATATAAATAAACTGCTTCGCTGAGCGCAGCTGGATACGCCCGCAGAGGTCCAACCCTGAACAGTTGGGGCAAAAATGGACACAATATTCAAGCTTGATACAGGTCTGAATTTGGATTGTAATTAAATATTTGACATATTATAGGTTTCTGAATAAATGTAGTCAAAGAACTTGAAATTGGTTATATGAATTGAATTTATATTCAATTAAAGATTTCTTGCTGTTGTGCAATACACTGTGCTGTTGCGCAATACTTAGTAAATCTGTTGTCAGACTATAAACAAATACAGTTCAATTAATTCTCAATGTCATATTAGAAATTTATGAAAATGTAAAGGGAGCTTACAGCAATAGATATAAACAATTCACCAAAGTTTCATGAGAATTGCTGACAGCATTTTTGAGTTATTGTCCGAAAATTGGAAAATCCCCCCTTTTTTAATGAATAAAACCCCATAACTCAGAAGTGTAAAATGTAAAATTTATAAAATTCTAAAGTGAGCTTACATCAATAGATATAAACAATTCACCAAAGTTTCATAAGAACTGTTGAAAGCATTTTTGATTTTTTGTCCGAAAACTGGAAAATCCCCCTTTTTTTATGAATAAAACCCTGTAACTCGGAAACGTAAAATCTAAAATATATAAAAATCAAAAGGGAGCTCATCACAATAGATATAAACAATTCACCACAATTTCTTGCAAGTTGGTGAAAGCATTCATGAGTTATTGTCCGAAAACTGGAAAATCCCCCTTTTTTTAATGAATAAAACCCCATAACTCGGAAACTTAAAATCTAAAATTTATAAAAAACGAAAGGGAGCTCACGTCAATAGATATAAACAATTCACCAAAGTTTTATGCAGATTGGTTAAAGCGTTTTTGAGTTAATGTCCGACATGTTGACGACGGACGGACAGACGGACAGACGGACGGACGGACAGACGGACGGACGGAGAGACGGACAGACGGACAACGGTATACCATAATACGTCCCGTAAACGGGCGTATAAAAATTATATCTATTCAAACTCCTTTACACAGTTATAATGCTGTAACTAGTATTTGGTATATATGAAACATGATGGAAAAGATTTTTTTACCATATTTCCTTGATATGGTATTTTGATCCCCCCTCCCCATTGCCATGAACCCCCTAGTCTATACACCTCCAATTTCAAAAATCAAATTATTTTATTCAAACTACTTGTCAAAGTTTTAATACTATAATTAATATATGGTACATATAAGTCATATTGTAAAGACGTTTTAACAATTTTACTGAGCCATGGTAATTTGACCCCCACCCTATTTTTTACCATGGTAAATTTAACTCCCTTTATGTGTTAGAATTTCAATTAATCAAAGCATTCAAGGTACATGGTCTAGTCAAAACGCTTCAATGGTAAAGACTTCAGCATGTTTAGAGCACTTATACCAAGCCATGGTTTTTTTTTTCCTACCATGGAAAATTTACCTCCCCTTTTGGTATGTCTGATTTTCAATCCATAATAAGCTTTAAAATAATGTATAATGTTCTAATAATTATAATTATAAAAAAACAAGGGGGTTCAATTTACCATGAGGGGTCAATTTTCCATACAGGGGGGGGGGGGGTCATTTTACCATAGTGGTATTTTGACCCCGGGGTCAATTTTCCATGGGGTTCAAAATACCATATGACACCGGATTTGTTTCAGTTAAGGATGTTCGCTACTCTTGTTTTTGACTTTTTGTCAGATATTCAGAATCCTCTAGTTTTATCCATGTTAGTGCCAATAAAAATTTTGCCCGCTAACCCCTATTTTTCTTTTCATAATTTTATTACATATAGTTTTAATAACCATATTTGAAAATGCTATAAAATCCTTGTTAATTTTTCATAATTTTTTAAAGAAAAAGGGTGCCAATGTTAAATGTAAGAAAAGTCTAGAGAGAATTATTTCCCACTAAATTTTCAATGGCTTATATCTCAAAAACAAGCACACGGACCCTTAATTTTTTTCTGCTTTTTTAGTTCCTTTATTTATATACTATCAATTCATAACAGTCTTTTAAAAAGCTTGTTATTTTGAAACAGAGTAGCAAACATCCTTAAATCAATTTATGACTATGGAACAGCGGTATACTACTGTTGCCTTTATATTCTAATGTAAGTGTGAAACCTCTGTTTAGCTCTTTTCAGATTTGGTTTCTAAGTCAGTGTGAAAACTCTGATTTGATCTTTTCAGGTCTGGTTTCTTATGTAAGTGTGCCCCCCTAAAATTTGCAAAGCATGGGTTGTCCTCAGCTTAATAAAGAATATTTAGATAATTTTACCTCAATAACATTTTCGCCTCAATCTGCTCGATGAAAATTTAAGTTTACGCCCCCCCCCCCCCCCCCCCCCCCCCTTTACCTAAAATCCTGGATCTGCCCCTGGAAACCTCTGATTGGCTCATTATAGGTCTGGTTTCTTATGTAAGTTTGAAACCTCTGATTGGCTCTTTTCAGGCTGGATTATAATGTAAGTGTGAAACATATGATTGGCTCATTATAGGTCTGGTTTCTAATATTAGTCTGAAACATTGGATTGGCTCTTTTCAGGCTAGTTTCTAATGTAAGTGTGAAACATCTGATTGGCTCATTATAGGTCTGGTTTCTAATGTTAGTGTGAAACCTCTGATTGGCTTTTTCAGGCTGGTTTCTAATATAAGTGTGAAACATCTGATTGGCTCTTTTTGGGCTGGTTTCTAATGTAAGTGTGAAACATCTAATTGGCTCGTTATATGTCTGGTTTCTAATGCAAGTGTTAAACATCTGATTGGCTCATTATAAGTCTGGTTTCTAATGTAAGTGTGAAACCTCTGATTGACTCTTTTCCGGTCTGATTTCTAATGTAAGTGTGAAACATCTGATTGGCTCATTATATGTCTGGTTTCTAATGTAAATGTGAAACATCTGATTGACTCTTTTCAGGCTGGCTTTTAATGTAAATGTGAAACTTCTGATTGGCTCATTTAGGTCAGGTTTCTAATGTAAGTGTGCCTTTTGATTGTTCTATAGAGCTAACAGCATGTTTTTACTGTTATCATACATTTACATTGGGTGATAGAAATTTTGGGAAGATTCACTATACTGGATAAAAAAAGATAATAATGGTTATCAAGTTAAAAGTAATAACAAAAGCTGTTTGGCTAATTGAGTAAGATACATCAGTGGGTTGATGTACTTTAAGCAGACCTCTACAGCACGTAACATCACAGATTGCACTTATTTTACAAAAGAGCAGTAGAACTCTTATAGGTTATCTTAGGGACTGAACAATTCATATTTTAATAATGCCATTATTCACATCTTTCAACATAGTCAACTTTAAAAAATGAGCATACAAAATATGTCACAGGCATCAATTTCTTACAAATGCATAGTAGGCATAGGCTTTTGTCAAATTGTTCTAAAAATAAAACAAAACATCAGAATATTCGATTTTTACGAATGAGAAGTTAAGCATGTATGCAATTAAGGTACTCCTCATTACAGAATCTTTGGTTGTTTGGAGGTTGGTTCAAACCAACTTTTCTATGATTCAGTATGATTGAAAATAAAATTTTTGGAACTATATAGTGAATATAAATACATCTACAAAATAAACAGGGAACAGAAACTTTTGTCTGTTTCTTTAATAAACATGATTGAAAAAACTGTCAAAATAGGTGCAATTTGGATACCCTCACTTAACAAAATAACTAGCAGGCAAAGGTAGAGTTTTCTTTCATTTCATAGACATCTTAAGTTTATTTAAACACATTAGCTAATAAGTTTGCAGCACACAAAGATAATAATTTGTTCATCCTATTTTTATTAGGTATATAATCTAATAGTTCCATCAGCTCCACTGGAAAACACCCAAGGTTGTGTTGGATGGAATTCACAGTCTATTACACCTAGATCTTTTGTAATTTTATGTCCATGTAAAACTTTGACAGGTACTATTAAAGGATTCTGTAGTAAATCACTGAAATAAAAAAGAAACAACATTTAAGGATGCATCACTCTTTAGAAAACTGCTGTTGTAAAAATTATTTCCCAGATTTTTTGTTGATTTAAAATTATTGATTGATTTTTTGGTGTTTAACACCACTTTCTGCTCTATTGGCTATTTCATGGCAACCAGTTTTTATTGGTGGAGGAAGACAGAGTGCCCAAAGAGAATCACCGACCTTTGGCAGGAAAACTGACAATCCTAGTCAATTTAGATTAGAGTCAAACGCACCTTCCACGTTCAGGGTGATTTAAATTGAGATATGAGGTATACATCAAGGAGACAGCATGGACACAAATAAGCAAAAGACATCATAAGGTGAACAGTGTCTTTTGGTGGGCGCAGGACATTTTAGCGCAGACAATATAGCCTATTTTAGCGCCAGATTAATTCGATCACCTGTATTTTCAATAGCCCATTTTAGCAAAACTCACCATACTAAAACTGTAATTTATGCTGCCTCAATGTTTAAAATGTTTGCATATACAATTTGGTTAAACATGAAGGTTTGTTGAAACAAGCAGGAAATAAAAGTGCAATATGAGATGGTTTTTTCTGGATACTATCATCAAATTACAAACAGCATCATATATTAAATTAATAAGAATAGAGGAATCTGCACCTCAATTAGACAAGATAGATAGAAGTAACCGCTTGTATCGCAATTTTATGATCAGTATTGTACAGGGGTATATCAAGAGCCCATTACTTACATTTTCTGGTATATAAAATTCCATGCTAGAATGGATTTGGAACATTTGAGTTACTTTTTAGACATTAAGTGCTGTATAATAATGACAATAATTTTAATGCAGTGTTGGTCTTGACACTATATAAATTTATGAACTACTTTCTGTCGCTAAATTGGGCTTTGATAATTTCACTATTCGCTAAAATGGGTTAAAAGTCTGGCGCTAAAATGGGCTATACTGAAGCGCTTAATAAAATATTACAATTTAAATATATACTGAAATAAATTTTTTTCATCCTGAATATGCATGACATATTTGCCACTGGACCTTAAGCAATCATCATCATTAATATTATTTTGTTATAAGGGAGTGGGTACATTCAATAATTAAAAAAAAAGATACAAATAGGGGTGTTGTCTTCTGGCTACTTAAACCTCAAATAAGTGTAGGGCCAAGCCATTCAGGGTGACAAGGAGGTAAAGCCCAACCCCCCTCAACAACTGCCTTCATATTTTTGTCATTTCAGAAAGTAATTGGCATCTGACTTGTGCATTAAAGTCATCAGTTATACTTTTGTGTAATTTTTCTCTCCAATGTTGAAAAATTTCAGAGTAGTTTTAATTATAAAATTGTAATTTCAATGCATCCATTTTGCTTCTTGTATGAAATGTATTAACAAATTATTTATTTAATTCAATTTTTCAACACATTTCTTTATTACCTACATGCTTTTTCAGTCTGTCTCGTAACTTAATTAAACAATTTAAATCCAGTGTCTCAATGTATTGACAGTAAACATATGTGATCAGGAAATTAATTTCCTTGGGTTTTACTCACTATGACATTCTTTAGTCATGTGATCAATGCAAAAAAAATTTAATTTTGAATTCTATTGTGTTTTGCCTGTATGCAAAGCTATAAATAAAACTTGAAGACAATTTCTACTTAAAACATAGAAAATAAGCACGCTTTAGAACCTATTGAGCTAAAAGCTAATCTTGATAACAAAACTGAGTAACCATAGTGGATGTTATAACAATAAAACTTTGTTAAAAAAAATGAAAAAATAAATAAATGCAGAAGCAAACAATCAGAAGCAATGTTTTGATACTATTCATACTTTCTTTATAATCCCATACAATGTAATTCAATTGTAAACAATACTTCAAACATTGATTTTGAATAATTTAGATTTGGTTCATGCAGTCAGTGGAAACTAATCATAATTTTAAAAGGATTATATTATCAGCTGATTTGAAAATAATGTACATAGTGTTATACAATTACCGTCTTTCAATGAGGTTAATGTGTGGTTTTATTGACTTTGAAAAAACAGATATTCACTGTGAGGCCAACAATCTTGACAAATGGTATGAAAATTTTCTCACTAGAAACCTGCATTGTTTATCTTGGTTCAATAATGTTTGTTGGTTTTTATGACAACTTTTCTACTTTGTTATTTTCTACTTACTTATAGACCATTCCATGGCAGACAATCACTGTTCCATCATCTGATGCTGAGGCAAATAATGGATACCTCTTGTGGAAGCTGACTTGTCTTATTGCTTTCTTATGATGTCTATATAATAAATATTTCAATTACTTGTATGACAAAATCATTGTTCAATATCTATGTACAGATTTAGCTCAGGTACAAACTATAAACAGACAATGTCCAAAATATAAACTTGTAAAAAGTTCTTTAAATGCTTTGATATCTTAATTGATATTTATAGATTATCAATGGTTTTTCAACAGAGAGGGGGTTTATCAGCAACAATATCAGCGAAAGGCAACAGCCCCGAGATGAGATGTGGCCGAGAAACATCCTCAAGTTTGAAAGACCATGTTTATCGTTGTTTTCCAAAGCAACCTCAAACATTCTCTTTCAACACAACTTAGAAAACCCCATACCACTCAACTAGTGTAATATGACAAATTATCACTAAAAGAATATAAAAGCAAAATTCATTAAAAATTAACTTCAAATATGAAATTCAGCTTTACAATTGTAATAATGGGTAACGGTTCTAAATTTGATTTTTTCACATTTGGTCTTCTTTTATTTTCTGAACATTGTCTGTAAATGAATAGCAAGGCCTAAGTATTCCATGTATTGGAAACTGGAAAAAGCTGTATAACAGATCTAAAAATTGCTCATACAGTAGAACTCAAATTATCAAGGTTCATAACAAAAATACAATTTTTTGCCTTAATAGTACATGAAATTGTGTTCAATTATGTTAGTGAGGTATGCAATTTGCAATAATGACAGTAAAACCTCTGTCTCACTGACTCCTTTTTAAAAGTTCAGAATGGCAGAAGGGACTTCCATGTGTTCTGCATGTTTCTAAGATACTTAAGATGGTTTCAACGTTTGTTTTATTTAACTTGTCTATAAGCAGTTAGAGGAAATTCAATGTTTTGTGTTTTGACTTACTTGTACATTAATGATTATTCATTCAGATTTCATCAATAATATTGTATACCTATTTAAACATACTATTCCACATCATAATTATTGGATAAAAGTTTTACGACAATTCTATAACTTTGTACAGGCCATGCAAAACTGTCCTCTCAACAATTTTACATGTATACAATTTGCAATTTCAGAATCTAATGCATTCTAGGTAATATTTTCAAAAGCAAACACGTTTAAAACAATGGAAATTCAACCAATAATGTAACATTATTTTCATTTTGGTGTACGAACAATGAGATTGCCTATAGTCCTTTAGATTCTGAGAAGGTAAATTGAAAAGCAAGCTCATACTGGATCAAATATATCCTTTTTGTTTCAGGGATTGAGTGTGCAAAAGTTTGGCTTCCATACTTATTCTATTAATTTTTAAATAAAAATTCAAATGTGAATCTGTTTAGACAATGGCAGCCATTAGAAATATTTTTCCTTGCAAAGCCTGAACTAAATATGTGTAACAGTGGGTAAATTAATATCACTTTATTATTTTTATGAAAAAATTTACATGAACTGCAACTCAACATGAGCTAGAACTTACCTGAGAATTTAGTAAGGTTTGGTTGACAGATCTAAGTCAAACCAGGTCATTTTACAATCATAACATGAGCTAGATCTTACCTGAGAGTTTGGTAAGGTTTGGTTGATAGATCTAAGTCAAACCAGGTCAGTTTACAATCATAACTTGAGCTAGAACTTACCGGAGAGTTTGGTTAGGTTTGGTTGATGGATCTAAGTCAAACCAGGTCAGTTTACATAACATGAGCTAGAACTTACCTGAGAGTTTGGTAAGGTTTGGTTGATAGATCTAAGTCAAACCAGGTCAGTTTACAATCATAACTTGAGCTAGAACTTTCCTGAGAGTTTGGTAAGGTTTGGTTGATAGATCTAAGTCAAACCAGGTCAGTTTACAATCATAACTTGAGCTAGAACTTTCCTGAGAGTTTGGTAAGGTTTGGTTGATAGATCTAAGTCAAACCAGGTCAGTTTACAATCATAACTTGAGCTAGAACTTTCCTGAGAGTTTGGTAAGGTTTGGTTGATAGATCTAAGTCAAACCAGGTCAGTTTACAATCATAACATGAGCTAGAACTTACCTGAGAGTTTGGTAAGGTTTGGTTGATAGATCTAAGTCAAACCAGGTCAGTTTACAATCATAACTTCCTATCACAAGATTATCGCCTGTAAATATCATAATACTACAATTATCATGGGGTTTTTAGACGTATTTACACTTTTGGGTATTAGCTGAATTGTCTCAAATGACCCTAGATCTTACTCCAAATAACCTTCTGATGTCATGTAGCAATCACTTTTTAATTATGTGTCAAATTAAAAAAAAATTGTGATGTAAAAATTTTGTGTGAACTTGTGAGATTTTAAGTAATGGCAGATTAATTTGCCTAAGTGTAACTACATCTATTTTCTGCCGTATTACTGTAACTTGATGGTAAAAAAAGTAATCGGGGATTGCTGACTTGTTAATATATGTAAAAAATTTTATGTGAAAGTGAACTAAAACATCTTAGAGTAGACTTTCATCTCATGTTCAAATGTTTTGTTATTTTTTCACACATTTTCATGGATATTTCTATAATTTATCAAATAGCTCAACACGTTTTCATGCAGTTTTACATCCTTGGCTTTCAAATGATTGGACTTGAGAATGTTCCTGTTGTCAGAAGATAAATCCAGAAAAGTTTATAAAGTATTAATTATCATTGTTTCCAAGTTTGATAATGGTCCAAAATATATAGATGCTACAACTTCATAGAGTTTGGTGGATAATTCTTTATTTGAGACTGCTGATAATCAAGAAATATCGTATAACTCAAGATACAGTGTTTGAATCTGTTTCTCAAATGATTTTATATCAGTGGATGGCAAGAAATTTTGACCAATGAATAACTGAGAACAATGGAACAAGACATTGATTATAAAAGAATCAGCGGGTTAAGGACGGTAAAAATTAAGAATGACTTACCACCAGAATGAATAGACATACTAGAAACCCATCTGCAGCTGGTCATCAACTTCTTTGTTAATTCTTGTTTCAATAAATTGTATACTCGAATATATCTTTGAGTCTGAAAATATCATTACATGTACAACTTTATTACTTGACAAGAAAAACACCTGTACCTGATCTATAATTTCTTGAAATTGGTCAGTTCAATTTATATTTTATCAACAGCTTTAATAAAAAAAAAATTGTTAAATTGATATTGATCAGGCTTAGAAACAGTTCCATTCAGATGAATGAAATGTTTAAAACCAAAAGCCAAAATGTCATATTGGCTCAAAATTTGTTTAGAAACCCTGAAAAAAAAAACCCTCATACTTACAGCTACAAATAAGAATGGCCTGACTGGATGAAAATATACACACTGTACCAATCCTTTAGGTTTGGAAAATGGATTCTGAAAAGAAAAGGATATAAATGGTTCATTTTTTCAGAAATCATGCTCTATACCTTTTTGCAGTTTTCAACGATTTTTATTTTAGGACATTCTAAAAGTACACTGGTTTATTGTACCACCGACAACAATAAATTCAGAATATTTTATATCCCTCTAAAATATTAGATATTCATCATAAAATTTAACAAAATCAATTAAGGGAACTCTAATTTCATCTGAACATTCATAGTTTCACTTTATTATTCAAATCCCCAGACTGACTTTCAACTTTATGTTGTATAATAGTGGACTACTTTTTCTTAAGTTTTTTGACAAATTTTTCTGACTATATTTTCCAAACAAATGTAATTCACTGGCAAAGCTTAAGAGTGTGAAAAGTTTTACAATGAATGCATAAGGAACCAATGATTTTATATCTTGATCTATTAAAGATGTATTGATATATGTTCCAAAATATGTCTAAAATCTATTGCAACATAATAAATATAATAAAATGTTTGTCATTGTGGAAATATTAGGTTATTTACTTGTCTATTTAAGTCTAACTATCAGAGTTTTTCTAACAAAGATTTTTCAATTTAATACAAAACATATTGCAAAAAAAATAGAGGCCATAAAATTTCACATTGTTACTCAGTTTGTCTAAAAACTACATCAAATACAAACATTTCTGTATTCATCTTATACACATTGGCAAGAATTTTCCTCTATTTTTAAAGAATTGAAGAGAATAAATAAATTACCTGTGACCTTTGTTTTGACAGTTGATGAATCAGCACTGCCTTAGAATCTGCTTTTGGCATCACACTGGCAAAGTAATCTCCCTTACCATGCCATGATACATGGGTAATTTCCTGAAATATATATACTTTTCTTCAAAAAACAAATTCATACTAATAAATAAGTTCAAGTGTTTTTATGTACCTCAATTTACAATTTTTTATCATCATATAACATTCACATATCAGTTTATCTAATTTATATTGTTCTGTAATTAAAGAAAAAGTTCATAGTCCAATTTCTTATCTATTTAAGGAGCAAATTCTGAGTATGCACTCCCTTTTATTATTCACCTTTTACAAATTACTACAGATTACTCCTCTGACCTAGATGACCTCATATTGCTTAATGTTCAATAACACAATTCTGTGCTAGTTATTAAAATTTAAAATGCGATTTTTATTATTTTGAGAAATCTATCCTGTGGCAATTTTCATAAGAACAAAAACATCCCAATAATTTCTGAATTTAGAGTATCCTTTGCTTAGATTCAAGATTCCACCATAACCCTTACCTTTGGATGTGACAAAATAAATCTGTAGCCCTCATCATATTGTTCATCCTCACAAACTGTCCAATTCAATGGTGGGGATTTACCTGTAACGAGAAAGTATGTGAGTGAAATACACTTACTACACAACATATATAGCACTCAGCATGCTGTATAATATCTTGATAGGACATTTTGACTATCTGAAATGTTAATACTCTGACAAAGTGGATGTATTAGTGGTGTAATTATTGACATATTCAATTTCTTTGTGTCTTTTGTTTTTTTTTGTGTGCTTTGTATCAATCTCATGAGTTAAGCACTTTTCAACCGATTTTTTATGGTTTGTTCTTATGTTGTACTGTTACACTACTGTCACAGGTTAGGGTGAGGGTTTGATGCCAGCAAACATGTTTAACCCCGCCACATTCTGTATGTACCTGTTCATAGTCAGGAGCTGTAATTCAGTGGTTGTCGTTTGTTGCTGTATATCATAATTGTTTATTGTTTAGTACATAAATAAGGCTGTTAGTTTTCTTGTTTGAATTGATAACATTAATAAAAGTTAGATGTGGTATTATTGCCAATGAACTATCCACCAAAGTTCAAATGAAAAGGATGTAAGCAAATTATAGGCAACTGTACAGCCTTTAACAATGAGAAAAACCCATACTGTATAGCTATAAAAGGCCCAGACATGAAAAATATGAAACAATTCAATTGAGAAAACGGCCTAATTCATAACAAAACAATTTACGAATAACAAATATTACAGACTTGAACCAACGACAACCACTGAACTACAGGTTCATTTGTCATTTCAGGGCCTTTTATAGCTTACCATGAGGTATGGGGTTTGCTCATTGATGAAGGCCGTACGGTGACCTATAGTTGTTAAATTCTAGGTCATTTGGTCTCTGGTGAAGATTTGTCTCATTTGCAACCATACCACATCTTCTATTCTTTTATACCTATCACTTTCAGAATAAGTATTAGAGTGCCATTAAGCATGAAATCATACATTTCTTATTACCATTTGCCGTAACAAATATTGTTTATATTCTTAACATTGCAAATATGACCATTTCAGCAGCTTTATGTCAGAAGCTGTTCTGTGGATATACCTGCCGATTCTGTAGTTTCTACATTCTGTATCATACTATCTGTATTACTGATGAGAACTTTGTCTCCAAGTCCGGGGTTCAGTACCAGTAAATTTTGATCCCTGTAATTACAAAATATATTTTTCTGAAACCCAGGTAGTAGTTACAAAATCATAGAGGTGACACTTCTTTTAACTTGTAAATGGAATGTAAAGTCATTGTTACAGGGAGTCATTTCAATGCAACAATTTTTTATTTCATGAAAAGGAAACAATAAATATGTGCCACATTTAACATTATACCATTATATATATGAGTGGTTAATATGTACATGTAATCACATCATTACATATCAAAATGATAACAATGTGTGTGTGTTCATACTGATGTATGCTTAATTTTGTAAACATATGAAAACCTAGAATTATTTTATAAAAAGAAATAATGCTGATTACATGTTACTGAATACAAACTTACACTGCTACAAGACACAGGCAGATAGCAGGGTTAGGGTTCCAGGCAATACATCTAGGTGTACCTGACACTTTTAATGTTTTCATACATCTCCCTGTTAATACTTCCCAAAATTTTACTGTTTCATCATCACAGCCTGAAAAATATCCAATACAAGTTAATAGTGAGCACTAAGGTAGTTTTAATACAACAGAACCTTGAAAGCACTTGTACTTAACTTGAAAGCTAAAACTAATTTTAGTTGGTACCTGCACTGCTTCAAAAACTTTGAATTTGGTCTGTTGTATGACTCTCAGGTAGATACTTCCTTCAGTTTAAAACAATTGAAATTACAACTATACTAATGGGTATTTCACATACAATTTTGTTGTTTCACTGCATTTTATAAAATCTCTACATGATATCTACTCTAAATTCAGAAGTTAATGTGCGCAGTCATTATTGCAAATCATTGATCTCTGGCAAAAAAAGAAAAATCTAATTAATGTGATCGAAAAAAAAAAATTTATGAATGTAAATCACTACTGAAATTATAAATGCAAGTTTTTATTATTGCAAACCTGATACTGTCACAATTTTTAAATTAACAAAAACATCACAATAATTTGTGAATTTACAGTATTTAGAAGTACCATAACTTATATCACAATGTAAAAGCATCATTATCAATAAAAAAAAGTATATTGAGTTTGCTTTCAATTATCATGGCAATTCTTTGGTACAGTATAATACACTGTTTTTACTTATACCTTTTAAACAAATATTTTGTAATATTTGCTCAACAATAAAAAAAATCACTCATTCTTTAAAGATTAAATCAAAACTATCTATCAAAGTTATAAAAGCAAATTTAAAGAAGATTCTGATTAATTAAGAGCTTCCAATATGGCAAGGGTACTTGTCTACCTATGAATAGACCTCCAGATGCCTAGAGTCATTCGATTTGTTGGATTACTTTCCCTTTGACATTTCCCCATATTCAATAATTTTGAATAAAATATGTGGATGCCAAGTAAAAAGCTTATACATACTAATTTTTCAGAGAACAGTGATACTGAAATAAAATATGAATATGAATTTTGTGTGTGCATTAATTATTACAAACATGCATACAAATCATGTTTCCAAAATTTAAAATGGGAGTTTTTTTATTTTTGCAAAGACTATCATGTCACTAATTCAGCAATAAAAAAACATTGCAAAATTTCAGAATTTACAGTAATAATGTTTATCTTACCTGAGGCTAACCATTGTCCTGTTGGATCAGCAGATATACATCTAACAATATCTGTATGGCCTTTATAAATCTGCAAAAATACAATTTTGAATAGGTGTGATCAAATAATACTTGGTGAACTGGGTCTAAGTATTTACCGTCATTATCTTCAGTTATCCATAACTGACCATGTGATTTACTTTTGATAAATAGACATTTTTTATCATATTTTGTGACAAAAAATGACATGAAAGAATTTTCATTATGTTCCAAGTTTTTTTATGATTAAAACAGGACATTTATAATCACTGCCTTTCCATGTGACATCATCAATTAAAATCATTCATTTCTGTCAACAAATAAATGAAGAATGTGTAGATGGGACATAGATGCCCCTGTTTGTAAATACACAGCAAATTTTTGCAATTTTGCAATTTACAAAGGGACATAACTCAAGAACACCAATAGTGACACCACCCAATGGTAATAAGCATTGTGTATAAGTTTTATAACATTTGGTTGAGGCAAACTTAAGTTAGATTGTGGAAACCGCAAATTTAGCAATTTTTCCATTTATAAAGGGACATAACTCGAGAAGGGTGCAAGTGACGCGTCCCAAATTCAAACTTTATTGGAGACTGGTGGTTATAAGCATTGTGTAGATTTTTCATAACATTTGGTTGAGGCAAACTAAAGTAAGAGAACGGAATCTAATCTTGATTGGATACTAAATATGATTTCCTGTATCTGCATAAAGGTAAGTTTTTAAACTTACTTGAAGACATAGAATCAGTAATTTAAACAAAATTTTATTCAAATAAATTGAATTGGATTGGACAGCAGGCTAAGCTAATATGGATTCATTAATAAAAGGTGTTATGAACTGAGTGTTTCTGTATTGGCCACTGAAAACTGAACCTAGCCATCATTGGTAGAAAAGTTATACAGATTGCAAGAGAGAGCACAACTGAAGACTTACAATAGCTTGCTGTGTAGGAAATGGTTGTAAATCTTTAGGTTTTGGCAGCCTGGGTATTAAATCTTCTGGATTAATGTTCATCTGTAAATAAAACTTATTAATGCCTTTAACTGTTATATCAACAAAACAATAAAACAATATATTTACTGAATAATTATTTTTGCATTTACCTATATGATCAATGACAAATGCTTATATAATGTGCTACTGATTAAAACAGCTAAGATTCCTCTTACTTTGTAGAATTTTTATGTTATTAATGTTTTAAAGTAAGAGAATATTCATAGGGTTTTGTTGGCAGGGATTTCAATGAGTTTTGAGAAAGCAATTACTAAATTTTTTGTTTAAATTGAATGGTACTTGACATGAGAAAAACTCCCATGCAACTTACATTTCTTTTAAGGATAACTGTTAAACAAGAAGGTATCACATTAAAAAAATCTGATTGTTGTTTTTTATAAAATAAAATATTTTGTGATAATGAAATCAATACCAGATTAATTTCTGACAATATAGAACAGTCATCAACAGATTAACCTTTTGACCTATTCAATATCAATGTTTAAGTTAAAATTATTTCTTACCCTTGTTTGTTGTTGTCTTGGACATAAATACAAATCTAAACATCTTTCAAATCTTTCCTTAACAAATCTAGAGTATGCTGGTACTAATCTTAAGCTGTCATATTTCTTTGGAATAAAATTCATTCTTCTTTCTTCTGGTTCTTGTGCTAGCCATTGTTCTTCCTATTAAAGAAATAAAACATGTACAGCCTCTTGCTATTAAAGAAATAAAACATGTACAGCCTCTTGCTATAAAAGAAATAAAACATGTACAGCCTCTTGCTATTAAAGAAATAAAACATGTACAGCCTCTTACTTTTAAAGAAATAAAACATGTACAGCCTCTTGCTATTAAAGAAATAAAACATGTACAGCCTCTTGCTATTAAAGAAATAAAACATGTACAGCCTCTTGCTATTAAAGAAATAAAACATGTACAGCCTCTTCCTATCAAAGAAATAAAACATGTACAGCCTCTTGCTATAAAAGAAATAAAACATGTACAGCCTCTTGCTATTAAAGAAATAAAACATGTACAGCCTCTTGCTATTAAAGAAATAAAACATGTACAGCCTCTTGCTATTAAAGAAATAAAACATGTACAGCCCCTTGCTATTAAAGAAATAAAACATGTACAGCCTCTTAATATTAAAGAAATAAAACATGTACAAAACATGTACAGCCTCTTAATATTAAAGAAATAAAACATGTACAGCCTCTTGCTATTAAAGAAATAAAACATGTACAGCCTCTTAATATTAAAGATATAAAACATGTACAGCCTCTTGCTATTAAAGAAATAAAACATGTACAGCCTCTTAATATTAAAGAAATAAAACATGTACAGCCTCTTGCTATTAAACAATTAAACATGTACAGCCTCTTCCTATTAAAGAAATAAAACATGTACAGCCTCTTGCTATCAAAGAAATAAAACATGTACAGCCTCTTGCTATTAAAGAAATAAAACATGTACAGCCTCTTGCTATTAAAGAAATAAAACATGTACAGCCTCTTGCTATTAAAGAAATAAAACATGTACAGCCTCTTGCTATTAAAGAAATAAAACATGTACAGCCTCTTGCTATTAAAGAAATAAAACATGTACAGCCTCTTGCTATTAAAGAAATAAAACATGTACAGCCTCTTACTATTAAAGAAATAAAACATGTACAGCCTCTTGCTATTAAAGAAATAAAACATGTACAGCCTCTTGCTATAAAAGAAATAAAACATGTACAGCCTCTTGCTATTAAAGAAATAAAACATGTACAGCCTCTTACTTTTAAAGAAATAAAACATGTACAGCCTCTTGCTATTAAAGAAATAAAACATGTACAGCCTCTTACTATTAAAGAAATAAAACATGTACAGCCTCTTGCTATTAAAGAAATAAAACATGTACAGCCTCTTCCTATCAAAGAAATAAAACATGTACAGCCTCTTGCTATAAAAGAAATAAAGCATGTACAGCCTCTTGCTATTAAAGAAATAAAACATGTACAGCCTCTAACTATTAAAGAAATAAAACATGTACAGCCTCTTGCTATTAAAGAAATAAAACATGTACAGCCCCTTGCTATTAAAGAAATAAAACATGTACAGCCTCTTAATATTAAAGAAATAAAACATGTACAAAACATGTACAGCCTCTTAATATTAAAGAAATAAAACATGTACAAAACATGTACAGCCTCTTAATATTAAAGAAATAAAACATGTACAGCCTCTTGCTATTAAAGAAATAAAACATGTACAGCCTCTTGCTATTAAAGAAATAAAACATGTACAGCCTCTTAATATTAAAGAAATAAAACATGTTCAGCCTCTTGCTATTAAACAATTAAACATGTACAGCCTCTTCCTATTATAGAAATAAAACATGTACAGCCTCTTGCTATCAAAGAAATAAAACATGTACAGCCTCTTGCTATTAAAGAAATAAAACATGTACAGCCTCTTGCTATTAAAGAAATAAAACATGTACAGCCTCTTGCTATTAAAGAAATAAAACATGTACAGCCTCTTGCTATTAAAGAAATAAAACATATACAGCCTCTTGCTATTAAAGAAATAAAACATGTACAGCCTCTTGCTATTAAAGAAATAAAACATGTACAGCCTCTTACTATTAAAGAAATAAAACATGTACAGCCTCTTGCTATTAAAGAAATAAAACATGTAGAGCCTCTTGCTATAAATACACATTTTTGGACAAATCTATCAGCAGACTTTTTGGATTACTGTAAGCTGGGAAAAAAAACAGACAGAAATATTTTCATATAAAATCCAATCATTTAAATTAAACTTTACAAGACCATAACAGGGTCTAGACCTGTGTCACTGCATACAATTGATTGATGTAACATGTATACTGAAGCATAAGTGATCATTCTCTTTCATTAAAGACATAAAGAAAACAAAAATGTGAAGAAAATTTTCCTTTCACAATGAGTGTTGGAAATTTCAAACTATCGGCAAACAGGAAGTGGCTGGATGTTGGATGTAAAAATTGTCTACTTGCTACAACTCAACATTATCAAGCTGCAAACCAAATAATAAATCATTCTTTTCAATATGAATTACTAAAAGTTGGACAAAACTTTTCCTAGGGCAATGAGTGTTGTAAAATTTCACAATATAGGCAAACTGGAAGTGGTTAAATGGTGGATATAAAAATTGCTTACTCACTACATCTCAACATAATCAATGTGCAGACCAAATATTAAACCATCCCCTTGCTAGAAGCCAAGAAAAATTTACTTTAGTAACTTAAGTACAATGTTTCTTTTAAGTTTTAGGAATCTTGATTGGAAACTGTAGAAGTCTTAGGGATCTTGGTTGGAGACTGTAAAAGTCTTAGGGATCTTGGTTGGAGACTGTAGAAGTCTTAGTGATCTTGGTTGGAGGCTGTAGAAGTCTTAGGGATCTTGGTTGGAGACTGTAGAAGTCTTAGGGATCTTGGTTGGAGAGTGTAGAAGTCCTAGGGATCTTGGTTGGAGACTGTAGAAGTCTTAGGGATCTTGGTTGGAGACTGTAGAAGTCTTAGGGATCTTGGTTGGAGACTGTAGAAGTCTTAGGGATCTTCGTTGGAGACTGTAGAAGTCTTAGGGATCTTGGTTGGAGACTGTAGAAGTCTTAGGGATCTTGGTTGGAGACTGTAGAAGTCCTAGGGATCTTGGTTGGAGACTGTAGAAGTCTTAGGGATCTTGGTTGGAGACTAGAAGTCTTAGGGATCTTGGTTGGAGACTGTAGAAGTCTTAGGGATCTTGGTTGGAGACTGTAGAAGTCTAAGGGATCTGTAGGAGTTGAAGACTTATACCTTCTTTCATAAATTTTTCTGAAAAATGGCTCAACTTCAAAATATCTGCATTTTTCCTGTAAAGTTTCAGGGATCTAGGTTGAAAACTGTAAGAGGAGTTGATTACACAACTTAGGTACCCTTTTTCCCCATCCAACTCGCCTGCCCATCTGCCAGACATCACCATACTATAAGCCAGTTTTGGACTTTGTCCAACAGGGCCAAAAAGTGAATTCAAAATATAACTATCTACATTACATTGAAACAGGAAACTACTAAATCACCCCAATTTAGTTTTTAATCGGGTTAGTGTTTCTCAATCATTTAGTTTTCTGTGTAATGTTTTGTTAATATTCTCTGTCTTTAGTTTTCTGTGTAATGTTTCGTTAATATTCTCGGTCTTTAGTTTTCTGTGTAATGTTCCGTTAATATTCTCAGTCTTTAGTTTTCTGTGTAATGTTTTGTTAATATTCTTGGTCTTTAGTTTTCTGTGTAATGTTTCTTTAATATTCTTGGTCTTTAGTTTTCTGTGTAATGTTTCATTAATATTCTCAGTCTTAAGTTTTCTGTGTAATGTTTTGTTAATATTCTCGGTCTTTAGTTTTCTGTGTAATGTTTTGTTAATATTCTCGGTCTTTAGTTTTCTGTGTAATGTTTCGTTAATATTCTTGGTCTTTAGTTTTCTGTGTAATGTTTTGTTAGTATTCTCAGTCTTTAGTTTTCTGTGTAATGTTTCGTTAATATTCTCTGTCTTTAGTTTTCTGTGTAATGTTTCGTTAATATTCTCGGTCTTTAGCTTTCTGTGTAATGTTTTGTAAATATTCTCGGTCTTTAGTTGTCTTTAGTTTTCTGTGTAATTTTTCGTTAATATTCTCAGTCTTTACTTTTCTGTGTAATGTTTTGTTAATATTCTCAGTCTTTAGTTTTCCGTGTAATGTTTCGTTAATATTCTTAGCTTTAGTTTTCTGTGTAATGTTTCGTTAATATTCTTGGTCTTTAGTTTTCTGTGTAATGTTCCATTAATATTCTCAGTCTTTAGTTTTCTGTGTAATGTTTCGTTAATATTCTCAGTCTTTAGTTTTCTGTTTAATGTTTCGTTAATATTATCGGTCTTTAGTTTTCTGTGTAATGTTTTGTTAATATTCTTGGTCTTTAGTTTTCTGTGTAAGGTTTCGTTAATATTCTCAGTCTTTAGTTTTCTGTGTAATGTTTCATTAATATTCTCAGTCTTTAGTTTTCTGTGTAATGTTTTGTTAATATTCTCGGTCTTTAGTTTTCTGTGTAATGTTTCGTTAATATTCTCGGTCTTTAGTTTTCTGTGTAATGTTTCGTTAATATTCTTGGTCTTTAGTTTTCTGTGTAATGTTTCGTTAATATTCTTGGTCTTTAGTTTTCTGTGTAATGTTTCGTTAATATTCTCTGTCTTTAGTTTTCTGTGTAATGTTTCATTAATATTCTCAGTCTTTAGTTGACTCTTTATATGTTCATACTGACCTCCTCCTTGGTAAATAAATATTCTGGTGGTGGATTATAAGATTCCACATGACCTGGAAGTGCAGCTTTAGGTGCTGGAATATTTGCTCTATATCTCCTTGTGACTTCATTCTAAAATTATAATGTCGATATGATTTATGAATATTATGAATGAATGCATGTTTGAATGATGTGTAGATATGATATGTAAATGTAATAATAGAAAATATAAAAAGAACTTAAAATCTCTTTAATAATTGTGCTTTTATGGTTAAATATGGTCAATTATATAAAACAACTAAATTTCAGTAAATTGGAAAAAACTATTGAATCTTATAGAATGAATGTTTTATAATAATTTTAGATACAAAAAAAAGAACAGAGTTCCAGTGTCCCCCGCGTTGCCTATATTTTATAATTCCAAGGGGCATAACTCTTTTTAAAAATGTAGATCGTCCACCATTATATTAATCTATAGTATAAGTTTTATAAAAATCTGGCAAGAATTGTACCTGTGAGAGCGCTTACAAGACTGGATGGACGGACGGATGCCCGGTATTTCCATGTCCCCCGCAACGCATTACGCAGGGGACAATAAAGTCATAAATTGATAAAGACATTAAATATCTTATTTTAATATGTATGTGTAGTATCATTATATATGTAGAATAAGTAAGTTATGATTTTAATATTTTGATGATGAACCATGTTGGCATCAACCTGTTGTAATTTGTGTAATTGTCGTATTTCAAGCCTTCACAAATACCTGTGAGGTAGGTTTTGATATGTTGAATCTATATATATCAATGGCCCATCATAAATACTTCTTCACAGTTTGCACTATGTTAAAAACACAAATCATGCAAATGTGTAAAAGTAATAATCATCATTTAAAGCAATCCCTGTAAGGAGACAACTGATAAGTTTGGTAAAAATGGAGGGTTTATAGCAGGGCTTCCAAAACGGTCATATATTCCGGACTTGACCGAAACTTTCATAAAAAGACCGGCTGCTCTCAGCCTCAAACGGTCAAATAGAATTGGTGTGCCACATTTTGTTATTCAAGGCATTTTCATGAAACGGTCATTTCAATTTTTACCAACTATCGATCGATAAAAATGTCCGTTTGGGGCTTTGGGCATGTCCGTTTGGGCATTTTAGTTTATAATTGTGGCAATCTATTTCAAAAAGATATTTCGGTCATAATTGGGTTTAATAAAACAGAAGCAGCATATTTCAGATACTTTGAAGTGTCTCAGTTAGTCTAATCCTCTGGGTACATAAATGTACGGCTTGGTCTTTAGCTTGTGTACATCAATAAAAAGTAGAAAAAACACGTTTTCTTTTATTTAAATAACAACAAGCTGTCAAACAATTATCCCTTCAATAAGTTATATTGAAGCCATAAATCATTCACTGATTACAGGTTTGTTACCTTTGATGAGGTGTCCTTAGCTTGTCTTTATCAATAGAATTAATGATGCATAACAATGTACATAAAGGTAATCAGGTAAACGAGGTCAAACATGTAAGCGTGTACGGAACAACATCCTATTTAATTACGCTTTATAGATATTATTTTAAATGAGCATTCAGTTTAAAAGTATCCTGATATTTAAAAGTTATTCTTCAAATAAGGATATTTATAAATGATTAAGTATGATATATATTATTTTATTTAAGCACTGTACATCGTGTTAAATACTGGGGTACTCTCAAGGGGAAAATTTACTAAAATATATAGGAAAAACACCGAGAATAGCTTCGCTTGGGTATACCAAGCTGAGTTGTCCAATAAATAAGGGGGCGTTCTCTATTCTTGTTTTCATATTAAAAACTGTTTTTATAATTAAAATCATAAAGAATAATATCCAATCATGACAATCTCCGACTGTTATAAAGACTTTGTCTCAAATTGAACTTTACAAATCTGCCATCATGGGCAAACGTAAACGTGACGATTCCGATCAAAATTCGAAATCTGCTAAAAATGCTAGAAGCTTTATTCATAAATGGTTACAACTGTTTTTATGGTTAAGATTTGACAGTATGCTAAATGCCATGTTTTGTGACATTTGTCAAAAACATAGACTTAAAAATAACTTTGTAAAGCCTGGTTCGACAAATTTTCGAAAGTCAGCCGTTGTAGAGCATGCTAATAGCAATGACCACATTCAAGCTCTTAAATTAGAGACAGCTTCCAAAAGTAATCCAATTGTATCAGTATTTGAGAAAGTTCATGAAAAGACTGACAACGCAATGTGCACCTTGTTCCGTAATGCTTACTTTATTGCTAAAGTTAAATGGTGCCGTGATCACTTCTAAATTATATCAAGAGAACAATGCCTGCTCCGAATTTATTCAGACAATTTCCGATGTTATAGAGAAAGAGGCGATGTCCGACGTAAAGTTAAGTCCCGCCGTGGGAATTATGATCGACTAAGGTGTAGTCTAGGTATTGACGCTTTAGATCAACTTATGAGGATAAGCTTAGTAGGTGTAGATGTTAAAGACTTTGACCCTGTTCCTGCTATCCGCAAATGGCAATCCGTTCGTAACCGTCACTCTAATCTTGTGCTGTGATCTGTGCTTCTTTTCAATGTGCTCATTGTAATATTTATTGCGTGTGTTTGTCAACATTGTGCTCTTCTGATATTTTATTGTTGTTATATATGCTTACATAAAATATCATGTTGTTATTCATTAAATTATTTATCAACTGAGTATGTTTTTATTTATTCCTTATTTTCTAAATCAGGTTGGGAAATTGTACAAAGAAAAATGTTATCACTGTTCAGTAGATTTTACACGGTTTAAAACAATATCCTTCATTGGGCCTCCTAAATGTTATCTATAAATACCGCATCAGTCGTAAAAGTCACGTGGTCAGGTAATCAATACACAAAAAGAAAAGTATCACGTGTATTGATGATCAAGTTGTACTGCAATTAAAGCCAACATCAACAGTTTCAAATAAGATGGCCTTAATATAAAAAGTGTTAAGTACTCACAGAGAGAAGATAGATTATATAAACAGAAACAAAAACATGAGAACAGTCAGGTACTGAAGCTGATTGATGCAATGATGGTTACTGTATTACGATACACAGAAAAATGACACAATACGGAGGATAATATTTTATTTATTTTTAGAATGAAGAAAACAAAACAGATATAAATAATTTTATTGCATATAACACTACTAATTATTTAGACATATATCAATTTATGCATCCTCTCAGTTACATTTAAGTATCCAGCTGATCATTGACCGTTAAAAATATTTCTTTGAAAAATGTCCGGCTGTCGTCAGGAAATTTTGGAAGCCCTGGTTTATAGATCTTGACATTCATAACATATTTGCCCTGTAAGATTTTCTGTATCTACAATGATACATGGTTAAAGAAGAAAAGAGAAAGGTGACTTAGTTACTAAATACATGGCTGCTAATAAAGTTAGCAAATAACACCTTTGTTTCACTTTGCAACTTTCATCACAAGGAGAGATAAAAAGATTTTCTATTTTCTATTTTTCTTTTTAATACATATGTAGTATTAACATCTCCAAGAAATTCTGGACAATTCCAAATTTTAGAACCTATTTCTCTATCAGAATGCAAAGTAATGAAAACTGCCTCAATAAAACTAGCAGTATGAAGTAAAGAACTCCTACCTCCTCATCATCTTTCCACAACATGAAATATTTAGGTTCATCATCGTCTTCTTTCTCCTTTTTATCTCTGCTTCTTTTCATCCATCCCATCTTTATAGCATGTACCATCTGACCAACCTACAAATATATATGCATTTTATTAAATCTGTTCATGGTTTTAGCTATTGTTTTATGTGAAAGTATTAGCATGGTATCCTGAACTTTCTAATAAAACCCTACAATCAATTGTCTGCCTGCTTTGTAATAAGCGTTGCTAGAAAAACTAATGTACCATTACATGAGATACTGTTGTACATTAATTGATTTTTTATTATGGCAAGATACTAATTAAAATGACTGATATTCTCTAATCAGAAAAATTTAAATAATGAGATTACAACCAAATATATGTATATATTTCCCAGACCTGCCAACTTTTGAAAATCTCAATGGAGGATTTAGTCCGCGACCAGATTTTTAAGGGTTACAAATTTTGCGGCGTTTCTGTGTGCACTGTTTTTTTACTCTTGAAATATTCTCATATTTCTTCTTTTTTCTTTTGGTATACTGATGATGAGCTAATAAGCCTTGATTTCTTTTATTTGCATGATTCTTGTACTTATTAATTGGCAATATAATTTAATAGAGAAAAATGGCCTAAAAAAAATAAAGGATACAAAGTGAAGACCCCCCTTTTCCCCCTCCAAAGACCTTCTTATCTTTGCACCATGACTCATAGGACCTAAACCTAATTGTCCTAAAGTTAGAAGGATGAAAACAGATCTTGAGTTAGTCTATCAGTATTAATGAGAAAATGGATAAAATTTGAGTTATCTTTCTTTGTGTTCAGAGGTGCTCTTACCGGTGGAGGCTAATACACAGTAGAAGTGAAAACAAAATGGCGTTGATTTTAAATCCTAACTTGACAGACACACGTCTGATTTCAAAAATTTTAACGGATTTCAAGATAAACCATGTTTTCTAATGAGTTCATTACAGTTTTCGTCTTTCATTTAATTATGATTTTGTCATGAAACTACGGTAAACGTTGCAAATTGTGTAGTATGATAAAATGATCAAAATTAAATGCTGACTGACCGAGTCTGTTAACAAATTAATTAATTTTGGGTATTGTTTTGACCCATCAGATAAGCAGATTACCTGTAACAACAAATTATGACACCTGTTGTGACCGTTGATTAGCGCAGGGTTGTAAACTTGTCATGAATATGTCGCCAAGTAAAATTATAGATTTATAGAAATTGATCAGAAAAACTTCAAAATCGGTAACCAATAATTTTTTCTGGTAGATTTTGTGAAAATCAGGATTTTGACTTGTTTTACGATCCCGATATCGGGATTGAGGCATGAAAATCGGGATGATACCGCTAAAATTGGTATAGTTGGCAGGTCTGCTTTCCTGTTGAAGTACGATAAAACTGGTGAATCAGCTACATGATTTTAATAATATTTTCAATGCATATGTACATATAAAACTGCAGATCTTGACTTTATGAGTGCCCATAAAATATTTTTCAAAAAAATTCCAGACAGAACCAAAAATTATGAACAGTCACATGACAGGAAACAAATATATGTTATTTATTTAACATTAGGGCTGTTTCATAATTTAAACTGTGGTAAGCTACCTTTAACTTCTCCCACTTTGATGGAATAAAACTTCTTTTGTCAGCTGGTCTGTTGGTAACTGGATGTATCATTGTCTCATGTGTAAAGAAGTCGATCCATGGCTAGAAAAGAAGAAGTATATTCCAGATGTCAAATAACATAAAGGTATTGACCAATGAAAGTCAACAAAACAATATCCTGTGTAGACATTTATGTGGGTAACTATTCAAACAAGATACTTTTAGCCTATTTGTATATCAACATTTTTTTTAACATTTTCATCCTTTAACAAATTTTGCAAAGGAAGTTTGAGCTTTTCCACCTGGTAATCATCAACAACAAGTGAAACTGCGAGATACTGCACACTGATGATACCCCTGCCGCAACTGGATAATTTTAAGTGTAATAAAATGCTCCGCAGGGCGCAGCTTGATACAACCGCAGAGGTTGAACCCTGAACAGTTGGGGCAAGTATGGACACAACATTCAAGCTTGATACAGCTCTGAATTTGGATTGTGATTAAATATTTGGCACAGCATAGGTTTCTGACACAGAATGAATGTGGTCTAATAACTTAAAAATTTTAAATTGAACATTCACCTATTATGGTCCAATATCCAAAATCTAAATACATGGTTAGATTCAGCATATCAAAGAACCCCAAGAATTCAATTTTTGATGAAATCAAACAAAGTTTAATTTTGGACCCTTTTGATCTCAATGTGGACAAAGTTGATAACGGGGCCCAAAAATCAAAAACCTAAATACATGGTTAGATTCAGCATATCAAAGAACCCCATATATTCAATTTTTGTTGAAATCAAACAAAGTTTAATTTTGGACACCGATTTGGACCAACTTGAAAACTGGGCCCATAATCAAAAATCTAAATACATGTTTAGATTCAGCATATCAAAGAACCCTAAAAATTCAATTTTTGTTAAAATCAAACTAAGTTTAATTTTGGACCCTTTGGACCTTTATGTAGACCAATTTGAAAACGGAACCAAAAATTAAGAATCTAAATACACGGTTAGATTCGGCATATCAAAGAACCCCAATAATTCAATTTTTGATGAAATCAAACAAAGTTAAATTTTGGACCCTTTGGACCTCAATGTGGACCAATTTAAAAATCCAAAAACTTAATACACGGTTAGATTCAGCATATTAAAGAACCCCAAGAATTCAAGAATAAAACCCCATTGAAATTGATCAAGAAATAAGCAATTTATACGAAGTATCTTCTTTTGCACAATACTGTGCAATTGAATATTTCTTGCTATTGCGCAATACTGTACAATTGACAATTTCTTGCTATTGCGCAATTTTGTGCTATTGGATATTTCTTGCTATTGCGCAATACTGTGCAATTGAAGATTTCTTGCTATTGCGCAATACTGTGCAATTGAAGATTTCTTGCTATTGTGCAATACTGTGCAATTGAAAATTTCTTGCTATTGCACAATACTTATTATATAATAATTTACACATCCTGTTTGGTGTGTATCTCCTACCATATCATTATTATTTGCTTTTAAATATAAATCAGAAATAACCAACTTAACCCCCCCCCCCAAATTTTTTGAACCCCCTTATGATTCATCACCCCCAAACTCAATCACAGCCTTCCCTTTGTGGTATGGTACCTTGCAGTACAATTTCAGAGAGATCCATACACTTGAACACAAGTTATTGTCTGGAAACTAGAAAAATGCTTATTTTTGGCCCCTTTTTGGCCCCCAATTCCTAAACGTTTCGGGCAATTACCTCCAAACTCAATTCCAGCTTTCCCTTTGTGATATGGAACCTTGTAGTACAATTTCAGAAATATTCAAACACTTACACACAAGTTATTGTCATGAAACTAGAAAAATGCTTGTTTTTTGCCCCTTTTTTGGCCCCTAATTCCTAAAATTTTGAGGCAATTACCCCCAAAATCAATCCCAGCATTCCCTTTGTGATATGGAACCTTGTGGTACAATGTCAGAGAGATTCATACACTTACACACAAGTTATTGTCTGGAAGTTACAAAAATGCTTATTTTTGGCCCCTTTTTGGCCCCTAATTCCTTAACTGTTGGTACCATAACCCCCAAAATCAATCCCAACCTTCCTTTCGTGGTATTGAACCTTATGGTAAAATTTCATGGAGATCCATTCACTTTAACTAAAGTTAGAGTGCGAAAACCAATGTGTCTTCGGACGACGCCGGACGACGACGACGCCAACGTCATACCAATATACGACCAAAATATTTTTAATTTTTGCGGTCGTATAAAAATATGTAAGTGTTCGGTAAACAGGAAGTTGTTTGAGTGATAAATCTTAAAACTCATCACACTGCATAGCTGACTCATATAAACCCTGAAACCAAATTTCAGAAATCCTTATGATGAAGTTCCTGAGAAAGATGGGACGAAAAATATTCATGGGACGGATGGACGGATGGACAGACAGACAGAGGTAAAACAGTATACCCCCACTTTTTTAACAAATCAAATAAAAATTAACTCTAGTACTCGACTAGGATTTTTTCTTCTACATTTTATACCTCATATGTTTCCTTTGCTCCTCCAGGTGTCCTCTGTAACATGAGACCTTCTATCAGACTGACATCTTCCTTGGTCAGTAACACATTTTGTCCAGTCATTTTGTTTGTCACTGTTCGCCTAGGTTAAAATTACATGGTATAAATTTAAGTTTACTGCTTCATCAACACTTTGCTGTTATCAATTGTAATTAAAATATTCACTACATTTTTTTCTGTTACTGAGTGATGGAGAAGAAAGTCCTCATAACTAGATCTTGAAGCAAAAGTGTTGAAAATAAAACATGTTTAGACATCTGCTTAAAACTTTTAAATATACGACTTTTGTTATCAAAAATAAAAACAAAACTAAAATACTGATAGTATCATACTTAGTTATCTCCCCTTCTAACTGGTCAACCTTGCTCCTTCACATTATAAACAGTCACAGTTTTCATCTATTTTTTTGGTTATTTTCTAAGTGAAATATAGAAAAACCTTGATAAAAATCTGTTTTTGATAAATATAAACACCATGGCCACCTATCACAGTTTTTAGCTTTTTTTCATAAGAAAATGTTGTGAAAGTCAGAAACATGTGAATTTTACATAAATAAATATTCAACAATTTTTACTGCAAATAAATTTTACAATAAATGGAAAAAAATAACCACACACATAAATCTTCTTTTAATAAACTTGTTAATACAAACCAATAATCTGGATTATCCATTCTCTGTAAAAACTCATCCAATTCATCTCCTTTCTTAGGTTTGATTAACTTTCTTCCCTCCACATCATAACCTATGTGTGGATAGTCCCTGTACCATTCCATTGGGATGTTACCCACTGTGTTACGGATATCCTGAAAAATTACACCAAAAGTACAATGTTTTACTTAACTGTTACTTATTTGTTTATCCACTATGTACAATTCCAATGAAACCTGTACACTATAAGAAAAATTATTTTCAAATAATCAGGCAAACTGGCTGTATTTTCATCTCAGAAGAAATTTAGAATTAATAGTCTCTGTTTTATTTATTTCAAACTTTTTTAGACAAATTAGATCTTGACATAAATGGTATAGACACCTGTATTGTTGAAGACTATATGTTGTCCTCTAAATGTCTTGGATTAGTGTGTTGCAGGGTTGCTGTCTTATTGGTGTATAAAAGACATATTCTTTATTTATTAGTTTAGAGTCATCCACATGATCAACTTATGGACCTTTTATCTTAAACATTGATAAATAAGAAATAAGAATACTTTCCACTTAACAAACAATTTATCACATTAATTAATGATGTGCCAGAAATCGGTCAACCAATCAAATTAGATGATAACATTGATCATGTTGATACTTAAAATACTATCAACCAATCAAAACAGTTCTGACACATACCTCTTCATCAGAAGAATCATGATAGTATTCATCGTCCACTGTTTGAGATGTTGTCCGAGTATTATTTTTCTCATTATATTTATTTTTAGCTGCCACATTAACAGTGTTTGTATCTTCTTCATTCACATCTTTGTCTTCTGTATCATTGTCAATTTCATTTTCTTTATCACTTTCTTCATTGTCACTTTCACTGTTATCCTCATCCTCACTGTCTGATTTGTCATCCTTCTTTCCTTCCTATTGAAAAATCATTTCTTAAGTTACAAATCTATATCAGCAATTGTACTAGACATTTCCACCCTTGCAATACATATCTGTGGAACATTTAATTTTTTTTTGTATCTTTTAACATTGTTAAAAAATAATATTATTTCTTTTTTGGCTTAAATATATATAACATGAACAAAATTTGTTTGTAGGTATTTTTTTAATGAGACCTTGTAAGCCAGTTTTTGTCATCAGATCATACTGACCTTACCTTCATTTTCAAAATCCATTAATCAGAATCAGTTTTCAGTTTTAAGTTGGTTCCTTAGTCACAATACATGTATAGGTCTATAATAATTGGTATGTGGTTGTGTTGTATTTTGTAACAATTTTACAACATTAAGTATGCATGTTTGACATATGTCTCATGTACCTACAACTGTTGTTTGATATTAATGAAAGTGCATGCCTAAACTTTTTATGACCTAGAACTCAAACTGATGCAATGTCCTCTCTAGCCCAATATAGACATGTGCAATGCATGGTTCTTTTAAAAATATTCTTTGATCATTGCTAGATATAACTACAAAAAGAGTTTGAAGCATTCAATTATTTGAGATATGACATTCAATGTATATATATAAATATCTAGACCTCGTCATCTGATGTGTCTGGTTCTTCTTCTAGTCCTGAGTAAACACTTTCTTCAGAATCTGTTGTGTCTTCATCCGATTCACTTGCTGATTTGTCATGGAACAAATCCATCTACAAGAAATAAATGATTTTAACATAATATAAGAGACTGGACTGTTACAAGCTTACATTTAACTGGTATGCATGTGATATTGAGGATTTATTGATGATTGCTTTACACAGTGTCAGTGCAAGAAGGATATTTTGGAATAATATTAACAGTGATTAAGGTAATTATGGACATGATGGACTTCTAAACTCCCTTGAACAGTATTGTTTAAGTACCAGTATGTGCTATTTAGATAAAAATTGACTGCCAACAAAAACAAAATAGAGAAAGACTTTTTTTATGAGAAAGATTTGTTTTATAAGGATTTGTAGAAGATAGATTTTTTTAATGGAACATGTACAATGAAGACGGTTACAAAAACTGACAATTCTAAATTTACTGTAGACTAACTAATAGTATTGATACATGAGGATTTGGATGGAGGACTTTAATTTTTGTATTTTTAAAAATTTTAGGGTTTTTTCTTCATCTGTAAGAATAATGCTTATTCTGTATGTGTGTTCTGTGAAATTCTCATAAAAACGATTTTACTATTAAGATTTTCTATAATTTGATGACTTCTTTATTCTGTACATGGTTCATTTCTATAATCAGTATTGTGTAACATAATTCTTTTATTTTCAACAAATTATTCTTTATATTTTTCAGTTGTATTATCAATGCTGAAATATTGGTTTAGAATAAAAAATATGAAAGATGGTTTACTGTATGATACCTATATGTGTAACAAAAACATGTTTAATAATAATATTGAATGCTGGTATTCATCCATACATTACATTTTTAAAAAGCTGAATATTCATAATTTGGAGGTAAAGCTCAACTTTTTTATCAAGTCAGTTAAGCAAAAACTTTGTAATAGTTTTGTAAAATTTTGGAACACAAAAAGAAGAGATACATGGAGTAGTAAATTAGATACTTATTTCAAACTTAAAACTTGTTTTTCGAAAGAAATGTATCTATCTTTAAACAATTTTCAATTGAGAAGTGCCATATGTAAAATCAGAATCAGTGCACATGATCTCAAAATAGAAAGAGACAGGTATAAAACTTTATATATAGAAAGAGACCAAAGGCTTTGTAAGAAATGTACTCTAAATCTGGTTGAAGATGAACAACATTTTATTACTAGTTGTCCAGCATACAATAATGATAGGGAGATATTTTTCAAGGAGATAAACTGTATCTGTCCCTATTTGTATATCTTTCAAATGAGGCAAAATTTGTTTGGTTATTTACTAATGAAAATTTGTCTATACTTAAATATTTAGGGAGCTATATTATTACATGTCTAGATGTTAGACGAAATGTTAATTAATGTATGTACATGTAATAACAATGATAATTGTAATGATTTTATAGTTCTGATCCTGCCTGGAATTAAATGTATGTGATTTTTTATAGAATGAAGATAACATATCCAACTAAGTCAGACATCACGTGACTTTTGTGACGTATACTAGCCGCCATTTTGTATTATATTGCCCCATATAAAATGCATAGGTGCTTCAATAAAGTTTAGTTTTCTCATGAACCTGACCCGTTTTCTAACTTTTGCAAATCAATCCTTGATATTCTAACATATTTCTATCAAACAATGTTGGTCCTAACAGTTTAAATTTTGATTAAATTCTGTCACTGGAGAATCATAAAAACATGTACTTTTTCTCGTTATTTCTCCGTTGACTCAATGCTAAATGTACCGATACCCTTGTCTACTTGTATAAAAAATAAAGAAATTCCGTTAATAAAAATAAAACTTTGCAAATCGATTAAGTATATTCAAACATATATCTGGCGAAAAATACTATTTAAAACAGTTTAATTTCTGGGCAATTTCGGTCAAAAATCGATTGAAAAAAGTGAATATTTCGGGATTTTTTAAAATGGCGGATGATGTATATGGAAATGTTGCATCAAATCGAGGATTTGTATAGTAAGACTTTCCTTGATTTAATTTAATTTTCATGTAGAATCTCTGATGTTTCTGTTATTTTCTTTGGTGATATTTCGATATGATTGATTTCAAAATTTATTGATTAAAAAAATATTATTTTAAGTGTGACACGGGAACATTTTATTTTGACAGATATCCAGGATATACTGTTACCAGAAAATAGTTAACAATAAAATTTATAATAAAATTTTTTCTCTTCTTTGTTTAAAAGTTTTTTTTCCTGTTTTCTGTTTAATTTATCTTTCTTTAGAAATATATTTATACATTCCTTTTAGAACAAAAAAATATTTACATCCCAAGAGAGAAAAAAATCCCAACAATTATTATAGATAAATATTCCATACCTTCAAAATCCCACCACTTGACGAACAGGTGAACTCTGACTTTGGATGTAATGTTACATAACAATATATTGTCAGGTAGACGTGCAAACCAAAAGCAACCTGGTGACATTAAACATCCTGTGTATACATGTATTACCAGAGTTTAAATTTTGTGATATACAAAAGTTTTCATAACTGTACAAATAAATATCTTCTCTTCCCCGTGTCAAACCAGAAGAAGTATGTATCATAATAAACTTTAAGAAAATATGAATATTATAAAAAAAAAATCTTTAAAAAAATAATTTTTGTTTTAAAAGATAATCAAACTAATATTTATGTTTCTATAATTATTTTAAAGAAATATTTTGATTCAAATTTTAATTTAAATGGATTTTGTATTATTTCGTAAAAAATTAAACGAGATTTCATTGAATATGATTTTATTATTTATTTTTTTAATTCAATATTTTAAGCAAAATCCAGGCATTCAATAAATCGATATAAAGTTAAACTTGTGTAAAAAAATTTGTTATTGTATACATTTCAACAGAGACATATAATACAATTGCTCTGATTTCAACAACATTATATACCCGACAATATAGTTGGGTATGTAACATCTGTCTCATTTTAATGTTTCATTTTAATATACATGTATAAAAATGTGTTTCTGTTACAAATCATGATGTATTGTTTTATATGTACATGTTATGCTGCCCATCAAGGGCCCTTGATTGGAATAATAAATATTCTTATTCTATACTTTTGCACCCTATCATGCCTATTATTCTCTATTCTTTACATCTTTTTCCTTGTTTATTCAATTTCATTATTGTTTTTGCCCATTATTCTCTATTCTGTAAACCCTATCCATAAACTTATACATGAACCCAAATACCTATACCTACATGACCTATTAGAATATCTGAAAATTTCTTAAAAAGTGATCTGTGAATTTTAGTTGTAATACCATTGTAAAGAATAATTAATATAATGAATATGTTTTTATTATTTTCATATTGACAAATTTAAAATTAAGATAGATAGATTTATTTGATTAAATATCAACATAAAACATATACAGTAATAATACACAGTACACTTTGTTTGATTCTATCAATAATCAGTCCCTTCTTTTTCCAAATGTCTGACACAGTCACAGATTACTTGATATTTTGACCACATCTTAGATTTGTGATGTCTGTAAGTTTATATTGCAATTACCTTTAGATACTTAGATATGTGTGTTAAAAAGCCGACAATATGGTATAATACAGGCTGATAAAAAGTACAAGTTAGTACAATCTTTTTCGATGTTTACATCTCAAACCGGAAACACGCTTCATGCACAAACAAATGATAACTTTGAAATAAGTATCATGTCTTTGACCTATATATATTCTCAGTTAAAAGGAATATGAATAAGTAGAGAAATCATTTTTTTTCATTCTTTTAATGACTTTAGTTATTTCTAAAACCAGTACACAATATTATCATTTATATTTATCTTATTTACCAAGGGAGAACACTCTTATAACACAAAAGCCGGATCCACAGAAACCGGTAAGACAGAAACTGTTGTTCAGCGGTTTGAGGTATTGTTTGGTTGGCTAGAGGCTGTGACACCCCCTCCACCCACCCCCACCCCCCAAAAAAAAAACAACGAAAAAAAAACAATAAGCTAACAGCAAAAATAAGTTACAAGTAAAAGGTTCATCATAACAAATGGACAAAAATGGCTGTATTTTCACTTCAAAAACTACTCTGAGTACAGACTTACCTGTCCAGTTGGAAAAGTTTTAATGCCTGGCATCCACTAGATATATAAAAAATAAATGCATTTTTATTTTATTGCATTGCTTGAAGTTCTAGTCAAATGTCATCGTCAATTATAAAATTTAACATAATTAGTATAAAACCTGCCAAAGTAAAAATTTCTTATAACTGTAATTTAATATTTTAAAGATTGTAACATAAATGGGCCACATTTGAAATAAGCTGTATCGCTTTCATGGGCAATCAAGATTAGGTATCAACAATTATTTTAAGATTTTATGATTTTAGTATGTTTACATGTCTGCTATTGTTTTATACTATTTTTGTAATGTTTTATGTAGATACTTGATCAGATAAATCTATCTATCTATCTAAGGAAAAGGTGGATTAACATTTACAAAAATCATATATATTACTGGAGTTTATAAACCTTGGTATATATGAGCTCAGTAACCGTAAGCTGCGGAACTGTAGCTCTTATGTCCTTATGATATACATTTAAGTTGACAATTTACAGACCATACTTGAAATCAATCTTATTTATAATGCTGGAAAGTTTGTAAATTAATGTAACACATTGTTTTCTATTTGCTTTTCACAAATGGTCTGCTCTGCAGTGAACCAGCATGACCAGTATTTATACCAATAAAAAATAATTTGTATTTAATTGTAATTTAAAACTAGATTCAGGCTTACGGAAGTGAGATTCACTAAAGTCCTTTAAAAGTAATCTATTGATTTGTCAGAGCTGTATGTGGACTGCAGAAACTAGAACCTTTGGCTATAGGATTTTAATATAACATGTAAAACCAGATACAAATACCATTATTATTAGTCTGTCATTCAGTGCTCTATAGGCTAATTAAAATGACAGTGCTATGTGATTGTGAACACAGAGCAGATATAAGTAACAATAACAGCTAAGTTGCCATCTAACATCAGTTTCACTTAGTACAGCCATAAGATGTGGGGGATAAAAACAAATTTTACTTGTACGCAAACTTCTGCTATCTAGACCATATCTTATGATAGTAAAACACACGTTTAAAAACCTGCACAGTCTAGTCTCCATATATCTGGACGCAGTTCTATACATTAAAATTAGAGTAAGAACAAACACTTTCATTTACATGTAATTTAAATTTGGATTCATAATTTACTGGGGAAAGATAAAGCTACAAAAATTGCCTGTTACTACATGTACTACATGTACTATGAATAGTCTTAAACAATTAGTGATAATTTAGAGAAATGAATGTGACATTCTAAGTTTAACATGTGTACATGGTTTGAATTATACTATTTTAACACTAAAAAATTACCAGTAAATATATACATGATATAGGACAGATCCAAACAGTCATGATTGGTTAACGTGACAATAATTTGGATCCAGAAGCCAAAATTGTGCAAACAGACATCATAAATATACAACACAACTGACTTCAAAAATTATGTATGTTTCATATTGTAGAATATGTCTACTGCAGAAATTCAAGATTATTTAAAGACAGCTATAGAAGTTGCCAAGGAGGCAGGGGAGGTAATTATGAACTAAAGCAATGTCATTGATAATATATAATTCACATTTTTATGCCCCATCTAGGGGCATTATGTTTTTCGGTCTGTACGTCCGTCCGTCTGTCCCGCTTCAGGTTAAAGTTTTTGGTCAAGGTAGTTTTTGATGAGGTTGAAGTCCAATCAACTTGAAACTTAGTACAAATGTATACATGTTCCCTATGATCATGATGACATGATCTTTCTAATTTTAATGCCAAATTAGAGTTTTTACCCCAATTTCACGGTCCACTGAACATAGAAAATGATAGTGCGAGTGGGCCATCTGTGTACTATGGACACATTCTTGTTTTTATTTAGATTAAAAACCAATAATTAATTTAAAAACTGATTTATAAAGAAAGAATAAATTACAAAAAATTCCAACAAGTGCTAAAAATGTTTTTGATCAGTTTCTTGATTTTGCCATTCAGTATGTTGAAATGATTGTATAGTCTTCAACCTGACCTTAATCTACAAATGTATGTTATATTCTCCAATATGTTTACAATTTAAGATGATTGTTGTGTTGCAATGAGACTTTTTGGTATTAATGCTAAACCAACATTTACAATGCATTGCTATTTAACTTTTTTTCTAAGCCCTATTGATCCAATTGAACACCTAAACAGTCTTTTAAGATATATATATACATGATATATGTAGTAGAATAGAAAGAAAAGGCTACCCCCCCAAATAAAAAAAAATGGAAAAATGGAAAAACAGTTACATAAATAAAATTATGATACAATGAAATATAAAAAAATACAATAAAGATGAAAATAGAAAGATATATAACTACAACAAAAAGTATTACCAGTAAAGTTAGTCTTCAAACTTCCATTTGAATTCTGGTAGCATCATTGGCTATTCATTTCAGATATACTTGGTATATATATTGAAGCGAAAGACATGAAGTATAGTTGATCAAGATCTCTTTATATTGGATATGATGAGTTCAATAATACTGACATACCACACCTTTTTATAGGACCTATTTGTATTAATATTCATATCAGTAAAAACGGATCTCATTACTTAGTTGAACAAGGACTGTTTTTTTATTTGGACAATGAGGTTGAGAATAAATGGGTATGACTCAATCTGACATTCATTGCCAGAAGTTACCCTAGATTTATATTCTAGGTAGTAAGAGAAGCCTTTTACAAAGAGAAATCATTACAGACAAAAAGTAACTATGCTGACTTAGTGACAGAAACAGATCAGGCTGTAGAGAAACAGATAATAAACTCATTTAAAGAAAAGTACCCAACTCACAAGTAAGGCAAATAATCAGTATGAGGTGACATATCTCAGTATTACAAAATAAGTATGGAATCACATGACCCCTTTGCTTTTAACACGCACAGATATATCACTGTGAGAGAGTGAGAAACATAGATATTTATATAAGTTTTAACAAAAGGTCCAAGATGTAGTGCTTCAGAATTTATTTTAAATGAAAATAATTTAAAAAAAAAATAATTTCAATCTCCATATGCATCTGTATTTCTCTCAATCTGATTAAAAACAGATCCTGTGTGTCCAAGCTTTGCTAACAAGGATCTGACAACACTCTATTCTAATTTCTGCTTTAAAGACCCTGTGGGATCCTCTGGTTTTGTTGGATTAATACACACCTTCAAACATTTGAAGGCTGAAATTTAATTGGCTGATGTAATAATTACCAGAACAGAAAGTAAAACGTCAGATCCTTGTAAGCAAAGCTTAGACACAGGATATGTATTTCAATCAAATTGTATTTCTGTAAAAATTAACATGATTTATAACACCTGATGTAGATCACATTGTCAATTTCCAAAGACGCTGCTTCAGCTTTAGCCATATGAAATCCTTTAGAAGTTTGATAGGTAGCTATATGAAAGCCATACTTTGACCTATAATTGTTGACTTTTTATACATTGTGACTTGGATGGAGAATTGTCTCATTGGCACTCATACCACATCTCCTTATTTATATAATAAAATCCTTGCTGTAATGTATTGACTTCATGCTGTAAACTAGCTGTCCCATAACTGACAACATTTTTATTTGGCTATCTTAAGTCGGGAACCTTGTTAAGGGTTGTCTTTTGCTATATCTTTTTTATCTTTTGTCATTTGAGAATATAGTGTGTTGATGGCAGATCTTTAATAGTCTGTTAAATTATTTCACATGTCAGTTTTAATTGACTAGGAAATCACAGTAATTCAGTTCAACCAATCTAATAAACTTCCTAAATAATGAAAATTAATTATGTCAAGAAGTACAATTGATCAAAGAAGGTATTTAGAAAAAAATCAATAATAGATTTGATTGAGTAAAATTTTACATGTTTGCTTCATATCTCTCGTTATACTACTCAATATGCATGAAATATTTGCCACTGGAATAAAGCAGCCTATGGTATATCAGTCCTTTATTTTATAGATTTATAGGTGAGGAATCAGTAGCAGGTGGTCATAAAACAGAATGGACAGATGACCCCACATGGATCATTGACCCAATAGATGGAACAACTAACTTCGTACATCAAATACCACATACATGTGTGTGTATAGGACTATCTATTAAAAAACAGGTACGGACTTATACTTCAATTCTTAGAATTTACAGAACTAAATGATCAATCAAGGTATCGTCCTGAATATGCATGAAATATTTGCCACTGGACGTTAAACAACCAACAATCAATCAATCAATCAAGGTACTGTTGAAAAAAAAATTCATTGGTTAAAAAGTGCTTTAAATTTCTGTGTCATTTGGTCTCTTGTGGAGAGTTGTCTCATTAGCAATCATACCACATCTTCTTATTTTTATATTTAAAGTTTGCAAATACACCACAAAATGTACCTTCACCTTTTCATTAGATACATCACATAAGTTGCTCAAAGAACAGTTTATAAAACAAATAACATTTAAAAAATTACAAACGAAAGTGGACCAAGGCCTCGTAAATCTTGAATACGATAGAATCCCTAAAGTGGATACCTCGGGTATGAAGGGTTGTTACAATGAAAAACACAAAATATGAAAGCAGTTATAACAACACAACACTTTAGGGGTTGTTGCAGTCATTTAATGAGATTGACATGTTTTGATACCATCATCAGGATAACATTTAAGTTATTTATGTGCTGTAGATTTTTCTATTTTCATGGGTACCAATTTTCATTGATTGAGTAAAAATTGTATTGCATAGATATTTGATTTCATTGATTTGGCAGTCTGTGTACAAGCTTATAGAAAATGTATACTTTGTTGAACATTTAAATGTGGTTCACCCATACCCACAAAGCCATGAAACTTGGTATCCCACGTATTTGAAATTTGTTGGCATTTTAGAAGATGTTCCATTCATAATAATTATTGTTTCTTCATATTGTTTTTTAGATGGTAGTAGGTGTGGTTTATGCCCCAATTTTAAATGAAATGTATACAGGAGCAAGAGGACAGGGAGCGTTCTGTAATGGTGAACGTATATCTACTTCACAACAAAATGGTAATTGTGTTGGAAATCACAAAATTCATTTCAAATTATTTATTAACCTTAGTAACAAGTACCTACCAGAGGACCAAAGTACTAAAAGCTGCAAGGGTTTAATAGAATTTATTAATTAATTAAATAACAGATAAAAGATAGATTCTAAGGAGTCATCAAAGATGCCCTCTTATCATTTGATGTGCAAATATAACCCCTGAAAATTCTGAAAATTTGCAATTATTTTTCCAAAATTTATTCATGTTTAAAGCATAATGTTGTTCAGCCATTTTTGTGTATAAATGTCTGTTATGACATTACTTTGGCAGGATATCCATTTGTCTCTTTATCAGTCTATTCAGCTGTCCTGCTGTCTCTCTGTTAAGTGTGCTTTGACCTAAAGTTTCAAAAGTTTATACAATGTTAGGTGACATGAAGTCTACCTATTGATATAAATGATTATCAGAGTACACGTTTCAGAGTACTAAAAAAAAAATCTTCAAAATCTCTGCTTTTCATATCTGTGGTGATTCTTCAGATATGCAAATATACTTTCACTGAGTCACATGATCTTTTTGACAATGTCACAAATATTTAAAGTAAGCAGCACCCTTTCAATTTTAACAATTTCCATAGTAGTTGTACGAGAATTATGGGACATTAATCACTAAAAGATAGGCAACTTTCATTTTCACAAAAACTCGTTTGCTTTCATGAATCTGGTTGGTATTTTTATATAATAAAAGATTTATAAAGACAAGCTACCTTGGAATTTTGAAGATTTTCTGAAACACTCTAGTCAACTGAGAGTTATGGGACTTTGATTATATACATTTTTTCATATTTCTGTTATACAGTTATAATTTAGAGACAGGATTCTTATTTGTTTTGATTATGAAAACTTAGAAAGTTCTAGGTGTCACTCGAGGAAATGGCTCTTGGTGTCACACTAGGAAATGGCTCTAGGTATCACACTAGGAAATGGCTCTAGGTGTCACATGAGGAAACTTCCTATTAGTTTCAGATATATTATGTACTTATGATAATATAGCAACCTTGTCATCAATTTCATTTTAATATCTCAACCTTATCATATATCAAGATGCTTAAAAGTGACCTATTACAGTCGCTCATCCCTACCACTCATTACATAGTAAGTGCCACCCCGGCAACATTTAACAAATTTAGCTTGAAAATGTCCCATTGGAAAGAATAAGACACCTAATGATTTTTGGACCAGTAGATCAAAGTTAAGGACAAATTGCTTATGATTAGACTGTATACGTATATCACATGAAATAATTTACCAGAGAACAACTCTTTTCAGACCTGAAGCAAGCTATTATATATTTAGAAGGAGGGTCTTCAAGAGAACCAGATGTATTAAGAAGAAAATGTAATATTTATCATAAAGTCCTGCAGACTACTCGTGGGTATGTTCTTAAGATATTTGTCAAATATTTTCTAAAGTGACTAATTTGTATGACAGTATGTGATATAGATGACTCAGTGTTCTTACATTTATTACAACTTTTGCCATTTTTTAGACACTAAATGTAAGTTGTTGATTTGTCTTTGTATCATTAATATTTTTGCAATCATTGATATTTCACGTAGGTCATATATCATACAGTTATAATTCTTTACCCAAGGATGTGTTGCTAAAGTCATGCTGAGGAGGACAAGATAACATATACTTGCTATACCTATATTGTTACCACACTTATAAGTTATTACAAAGCAAGACTCTTGAGAATTAAATTTTTTTAAATTCTAAATAATTGCATTTTTGACTCTTTGATTGAATTTGAATTGCTAATGGTTAATGTGATATTATATGATTTTTCTGACCAAAATTATTACTGAAAAGAACAAAAGTTTATTTTGAAAGTTTTATGTTAGCTTTCAATTTCTGTGGCATTATTTGTTTTCTTGAGATTTTCTTTTACTTTCAATATTTTCTTTTTTTGTTTTTATAAATTTGTTTTAATAATATGTTTTTCAAGAGAATCTTTTGCCAACTTGCTTCAGTCATCTGTACCAAAACAGTCTTTGATATTTTATTCCTTAACAAAATGAAATGTAGAATTTACATTTTCCTAATTATATCTTTGATAGATGAATCTATCCTATTACATGTATATCTGTTTATGATTTATACAGGACGAGAACATTAGGTTCAGCAGCAATGAATATGGTAAATGTGGCTAAAGGAAGTGGCGATGCTTATGTAGAATATGGTTTACATATCTGGGACTTTGCTGCATCAGGGGTGATACTTATAGAGGCTGGTGGTGCAATGATTGATCCCTCAGGTGAGTATCTGTTATTTTACTGCATCAGTGGTAATACTTAAGGAGGCTGGTAGTTCTATGATTGATCTGTCAGGTCATTATCTGTTTTTTTAATGCATCCGGTGTGATACTTAAGGAGTCTGGTAGTTCTATGATTGATCTATCAGGTGAGTATCTGTTATTTTACTGAAACAAGGATTGTAATTATATATATTGGTAGTCCTTCGATATATTCATCAGGTAAGTATCAATAATTTTGATCATTTTATGTGAGGTCTGTTTTCATTGCAACATATGTGAGACCCATGAAAGACACTTTGCAATCTCCTCTGTGTGTGTCAAAGACATCTCTATGTATGTCAAAGACAGTGAAAACGTAAGTGAAACTCTAAAGGATATTTGGTATCCATTTGTATTAGCATTGGCACATCTCATTTCCATGGAGATTATTTGGCCCTGCCCCCTTAGTCATTGTCTATTGACTTTGAAATTATTGCTTCATATAAATGTTAAATTATGTGCTAGTTCAGTTTAAGTGGAACCATTCATGATATATGGTATGCAGTTGTATTAGTATATGCATATCATTTCAGTTCTATGGAAATTATAAGTCCCAATCCCTAACTCATGGATTAGTGACTTAAGAACTTTTGAATAGTTCACATGTTAAAGTTTGTGATTATGTCAGATTTAAGGAAACCACTTAAAAGTCAATAATATGTGTTAAGCAGTTGTATCAGCATGAGCACATCTTGTATCCATGGAGATCATATGGGTCTGCCCCCTTGATCATGGTCTATTGAACTTTTTCAAATTCCTGGGAGATAATTTGTTCATGCACAGTCAGTCATGGTTTATTGACTTTCAATGTTTTGCATATAGTTTACATTGTTAAAGTAATGTCATTTTAATTATGATGTTAAATAAGGGTATAACGTTTTTGACCAGTCCGTCTGTCAGTTAGTCCGTCCGTCCGTCCGTCCATCAGTCCATCTGTCAGTCCTGTTCTTGTCATTGCAACTCCTGAAACCACATAACAGAATTTCATGAAACTTTGTAGATAATAAGGACATACTATGTAGATGTGCATATCCACAGAAATTTATGATTCAATGTTTTTTTCTAGGAGTAATGCCCCTTTGAACATAGAATTTTGGCCTAAATATACAACTGCAACAGTTTATCAGTGCAATTCCTCTGAAACCAAATAAACAGAATTTCAGGAAACTTTGTAGTTAATGAGGACATAATATGGAGATGTGCATATCCACAACAAATTTTTATCAGTTGACTTTTGTAGGAGTTATGAGTCTCTGAACTTAGGAATCTGGTGAGCTTTCGTTTGCTCAGTGACAATGTGGAGTGTGGGGTATGTGAGTGTACTCACAAAGGTTCTTTAATTTTTACATTTGTATTTTACTATCAAAATAACATACATGCAAGAAATGTCTCTGTGCCAGCAGTTTATTTAATCTATTACCATGTTTCACATTTGTTAAAAAAAGATACTTTTAAGGGATAGGACTTTGGCATGATTGTAGATTTGGACATGTTCCTGCATAGTATCATTCATATAACATGATGTGTTTTGTGTTTAACAGGTGGTCCAGTAGATTTCCTTAGTAGAAGAATTTTATGTGCATCATCACAACCTTTAGCAGACCAGTTATCTACAACCATCCCAGAACATATAGAAATGGAGAGAGACTGAAAATTGGAGACTTAAGCAATCAATGTTACATTTAGAAAAAAAACATAGCGATTAATATGAAGATAGATTAGGGTGGTGTTCCTGGTTAATTCTAGTGCAAAACAAAAATGCATTACCATCAGTAATGGTTATATGGTGATTTATAGAAATCCTTTTTTACCTTAACTATAATCAGAGACTTAAGCAATATATGATACATTTAGAAAAAACATAGGGGCACCAGTATGAAAAAAAATTAAAGTTGATTTTCCTGGTTAATTCTAGTGGAATTAAACATCCTTTACAATCAGTGAAGGACATATAGGGATCTGAAGAAATCCAATTTTAGCTCAACTGACCTTGTTAGCTTTTATTATTGTTTGGTGTCTGACCTGCATGGTCTAGCTTTAACACTGTTAATAATCTTTTCCTGTATAACTACTTAGCCTAAACTTGACCTGAATAAGTTTTATCAGGTCCACTTTAAAGTTGGTAGTTTTTTCCATGCTGACCAACCAAATGAATAACTGGCATAGCTTACTATAAATAAAATTACAGCCATTTTAATTTGATGCTCTATCTTTTTGAATTTCAGTAGTATTATTAAGTGAATGCCCTAGATACTTGCCTTGTAAGGACTCATCTTCATAATGGATTTCTAAAATGGGTTGAATACTGCATTTTTATGATTGATTGTAAAATGACAGTGGGTATTATTCAGGTGATCAATTTAGGAATCCTGGACCTGTATTGTTGGGGTTTCTATCTTATTAATATTTTCCTCATATCTTTTATTAATTTTGATGGAGTCTTCTGTTAGTTGTTATAGTTTTATGTTGTTAATGTTATATCTACTATTTCATAGAATGAAACAATATTTATTAAATATTTTATGGTCAACTTTTTTGTATGTGCTTCATTTGTAGAGATTGGTATTTTATGTATAATAATAGTAAAACAAAGACACCATTAGTTATTTTTATTTGTTAGTAGTTAGACAAAGCTGCATAATTGTGACATTGCATTTATTGATGGATGCTAATTTTTATTGTGTCAACCTGGGACAAAAAGCACAGAATGGCAGACATATTGAAGATACTGCAGCAGGATAGTTTTAACTAAAGTTGTATATATCAGAAGGTAGACTTCCTGAATGCTTTATACCTTTAAACAGATGCCTTATGTTAGCTAGTTAAAAACCGATCTATCATCACTCCTGTTTTTCTAATATGTCACATGGGAGCGAAATATAAGAAAATAGGAGCCATGATAGATCTTTCAATTAAATTGATAGCTGCTGTATGTCATATGTCCATTATCCTTAACTTCATTTTTATGGATCAGCAACTTCTTAAAAAACAGTTACTGTTTTTCACGTGAATTTCTCACTTATAATAAGTACGATGTGATAGAATATTTATACTTATATTTGGTATAGGGATCTTTGCAAGGTCTATTTATTGAACAAACAGGGTGACCTGACCTTGATCCATTTTATAGATCAGAGATCAAGGTTAAGATATTATGATCAAGTCCTGATCTCAGATTTCATAATTCATAGGTCAACTATATTTGGAAAAATGATATATTTGGTGTATGGAATGATTTAATGGCATACATGTCCATATGACCTAGACCTTATTTTTATGTTTAAAATATCAATGTTAGGTTTTCGTAGTTTCTTTGGTCTTGCCTGTGGTATGCGAGACATAGGGAATACTATCAGGAGGTTGCGTCTGGGACTATTATACTAACGGGACTGGAAACCATTCACCAATCAGTGTAATAATATCAACATCATGGTCGTTAGAACGAGACTTTACCTGCGCTATTTATCGATACGCCATATTATTTTGACAGTGACAGCGTGCCTTGATCTTATAATTTCGGTAATTTGTTTTTTTATTTTATAGTTATTCGAAATGATAATCCTTAATATAAACATGATTACTATAATGATAAAAGATATCTCGATCTTTGACAGTTGTTATTAAACACCAAATCTCGTCTTAAGTGTTAATAAAATGCTCCGCAGGGTGCAGCTTGATACGACCGCAGAGGTCGAACCCTGAACAGTTGGGGCAAGTATGGACACAACATTCAAGCTTGATACAGCTTTGCATTTGGATTGTGATTAAATATTTGACACAGCATAGGTTTCTGACACAGAATGAATGTGGTCTAAGAACTTAAAAATTTTAAATTGGACATTCACCTATTATGGTCCAATATCCAAAATCTAAATACATGGTTAGATTCAGCATATCAAAGAACCCCAAGAATTCAATTTTTGATGAAATCAAAGAAAGTTTAATTTTGGACCCTTTTGACCTCAATGTGGACAAAGTTGATAACAGGGCCCAAAAATCAAAAATCTAAATACATTGTTAGATTTAGCATATCAAAGAACCCCATATATTTAATTTTTGTTGAAATCAAACAAAGTTTAATTTTGGACCCCGATTTGGACCAACTTGAAAACTGGGCCCATAATCAAAAATCTAAATACATGTTTAGATTCAGCATATCAAAGAACCCTAAGAATTCAATTTTTGTTAAAATCAAACTAAGTTTAATTTTGGACCCTTTGGACCTTAATGTAGACCAATTTAAAAACGGGGCCCAAAATCCAAAAACTAAATACACGGTTAGATTCAGCATATTAAAGAACCCCAAGAATTCAAGAATAAAACCCCATTGAAATTGGTCAAGAAATAAGCAATTTATACGAAGTATCTTCTTTTGCACAATACTGTGCAATTAGATATTTCTTGCTATTGCGCAATACTGTACAATTGACAATTTCTTGCTATTACGCAATATTGTGCTATTGGATATTTCTTGCTATTGCACAATACTTATTATATAATAATTTACACATCCTGTTTGGTGTGTATCTCCTACCATATCATTATTATTTGCTTTTAAATATAAATCAGAAATAACCAACTTAAAATGGAAAATTTTAAAAGAAAAAAAAAGGAAAAAAAGAAAAAAAAAAAGAAAAAAAAAATAATAACCCACCCAAATTTGTCGAACCCCCTTATGATTCATCACCCCCAAACTCAATCCCAGCCTTCCCTTTATGGTATGGTACCTTGCAGTACAATTTCAGAGAGATCCATACACTTGAACACTAGAAAAATGTGTTTTTTGGCCCCTTTTTGGCCCCAAATTCCTAAACGTTTAGGGCAATTACCCCCAAACTCAAACCCAGCTTTCCCTTTGTGATATGGAACCTTGTAGTACAATTTCAGAAAGATCCATACACTTACACACAAGTTATTGTCCTGAAACTAGAAAAATGCTTGTTTTTTGCCCCTTTTTGGCCCCTAATTCCTAAAATATTGAGGCAATTACCCCTCATTTTCAATCCCAACCTTCCCTTTGTGGTATGGTACCTTGCAGTACAATTTCAGATAGATCCATACACTTGAACACATGTTATTGTCTGGAAACTAGAAAAATGCTTATTTTTGGACCCTTTTTGGCCCCCAATTCCTAAACGTTTCAGGAATTACCCCCAAACTCAATTCCAGCTTTCCCTTTGTGATATGGAACCTTGTAGTACAATATCAGAAAGATCCATACACTTACACACAAGTTATTGTCATGAAACTAGAAAAATGCTTGTTTTTTGCCCCTTTTTTGCCCCTAATTTCTACAATTTGGAGGCAATTACCCCCAAAATCAATCCCAGCATTCCTTTTGTGATATGGAACCTTGTGGTACAATGTCAGAGAGATCCATACACTAACACACAATATATGTCTGGAAGTTACAAAAATGCTTATTTTTGGCCCCTAATTCCTTTACTGTTGGTACCATAACCCCCAAAATCAATCCCAACCTTCCTTTTGTGGTATTGAACCTTGTGGTACAATTTCATAGAGATCCATTCACTTAAACTAAAGTTAGAGTGCGAAAACCAATGTGTCTTCGGACGACGCCGGACGACGACGACGACGCCGGACGACGACGACGACGACGCCAACGTCATACCAATATACGACCACAAAATTTTTTTTGCGGTCGTATAAAAATGACATATAAAGATTGAAATTTTCAGGATGAAAATAGCGTGGGGACGATGTGGAAAAAAGTATATGATTCATAAAATTTCTTATAACTGTTGATTGAAAAGAGATACGCAAGTTCGGTTTGTTGTCAAATCATATTTATAGGTTATACTTTGGATTTGCCTATTTTTATTGTCACTTTTTTAAATAAAAAGTGGAATATACATCTCTTTCTCATTACAACCGGAAACCACATTCACGGCTCAAATAAATTATACTGTTCCTATAAAATTACCTACTCCTTTTTATGTGTGCAATATTTTTATTATAATCAGGGTTGATTTTGCTTAGTAATGGTCTTCTGGTGGCATTAGCATATAACTTTGTGAAAATATGTACACTAGGTTCCACATTTAGAACTACAAAAGTAGGCCCGTATACAGCCATATTGAAATTTTGGTGTAAAACACGATGTTCAGAAAAGTTCAAAACAATGTGGCTATATTTTTATGAGACCCGGGTAATTTTTGTTATATGAATTAATTATGAACTGAAATTGTAAACATTTGTTTTAATTGCACACTTATTTTTTTTATCAGGATTAATTATGATCTGTTAACCTTTGACACGTTGTTTTCTTAGCGTTCAAGTAAATCGCCGGCATTTCGACAATATTTGGTTTATTTTCAACATTAATATATTGACTACTTATTAATACTTTTTCGTAAACAATATATATTTTTTGCATTTAAACTTATTAATTTAATAATTATTTTTTATTTCAAATCCACCAATTTTAACAGTATTCTATATAAGCTGACTTGTTTGCCGAAATCTATTTTTTACATTCATGTACCGAATGCTAATTTACTACGTGACACGATAAGCTGTCAATCAAAACAAAAAATCACTAATCCGCTATCGGGGCAATGAAATCTCAAGAGATCGATCAGTTTCCTGTCCCGTTAGTATAATAGTCCCAGGTTGCGTGAACTAGTTGTATAAAGCTTTATATTTCAGAAGGTAGAAGACCTTGATGCTTTATACCTTGTATGCAGATACCTTATGTTACGAAGTTTCCGTCTGTAATATGTCCATAGTCCTTGACCTCATTTTCATGGTTCAGTGATTGCTTGAAAAAAAAAATTTTTTTTTTGTCAGGTGAATTTCTCCCTTATTGTGAGTAATAGGATAAGTATAAAATACAGAACAAAGGTAACAAAAAAAAACAGGCTGGTAACAACAGTTGCCGTTTACTTTTTAAAGGCAGTGCTTTAATGCCTTTCTGGTTGCCGGGTTAATCTTTCCTTCCGCGATATCCAACTTATCTACGTGGGGGTCATTAGGCTCCAAGTAGATCCGGAAATGTTGAAATCTCTCCTCTTCTTATTGTGATATAAAATGTTTTTTGTTTCATTTCATTTACATTGGGAAATAGAGAAACGATCATTGTGTTTTTTTAGTTTTAAAAACTTTTGATATATTTGTATTTTGCATTATAAGCAGTCAACCGATTGACAAACTAGAATTATTTGAATTCCGTATGGAAAGAGCTCGGGTTAATTTCGAGTGTTTTCTGCAATCTAGATGTTTATAAATCATTTCAGTCGTTGATATAATAATTTAAGGTCGACTGAACATGAATTATATTATACAATTTAAAGCGCATTTCTGTTTATGCACGTGAACCCGTCTAACGTTATTGTTATTTCGCAGTTATATAAAGTAGCAAATTATCGTTCCTGAATAGGTGGCGCCGTGGTAGCCGATCCTGTTCCTCAACTTCCGGTTTCTGCACTGTGCAACTATTCAGTTACGTTTTTAATTAACGATGCCAAGTACTTGTTGTTGTGTACCTGGATGTCATTTAAGAGGAGGACATGCATTTCCAAATGACTTAAAAAGAAGGAAAAGTTAGATCAACGCCATGGCTCATACGCAGATTGGACGAGA